GAGAAGATTAACTGAGAAAAGTTGGTAAAAGTTGAAAGTTGTTATCATGTTATTAGAAGTTTCTGTTTGTAACTGTTATCTGTGTAGGAGATAGCCTGTGGTCTGATTGATTCGGTCTACGTGACCCACGTCTCTTCTGTTGATTCTTGAATACCATCATTCTTACCTCGTCTTGGTGTTATAGGGTACAGCTAAATAGAAATGTAGTTTTACGCCAACTTTCGGTATCTTGAGCTAAAGAGAAGACAACGTGATTATCAAAATTACAACCAGAGCCTTGTAAGATGTCATGTCAATTTGAATTACTGAATGTTTCTACATCTTATTGTGCTGAAAAGAGAAGACAACTCCATGCAGTGCATAATGAGGAAAAAGAGTCTTTTCCTTTAGATTGTCTAATACCGAGAGACTGTCTAATGCCGAGAGACTGTCTAATACCGAGAGACTGTCTAATGTCGAGAGACTGTCTAATGCCGAGAGACTGTCTAATGCCGAGAGACTGTCTAATGCCGAGAGACTGTCTAATGCCGAGAGACTGTCTAATTCCGAGAGACTGTCTAATGCCGAGAGACTGTCTAATGCCGAGAGACTGTCTAATGCCGAGAGACTGTCTAATGCCGAGAGACTGTCTAATACCGAGAGACTGTCTAATGCCGAGAAATGGTAGATAGATCACGGGATGGGGTCGTATTGTATCTTCATTAGGGCGTGGCGTAAAAGTTGCTTCATACTGTGTATGTTTGGAAAAGATACTAGCTTACAATTACACCATACCAAATCTGTTTTAAAACTTAAAACACTGCGCGACATATGGTATAACCGTCAGTCTCTATACAGTGTGCTATGGGGGAAATAGATTTAGACTGACAACCTACAAAAACTAGACAACATATGATATAACTATCAGAATTACACGTTGGATTGTGATCTGTTAAACCCTAGACCTCACAGAGTGTTACAGTATACTCTACCAGATTGTCTAGTATATAGTACATCTTCACGATGTCAAACTATTAAGAACTGCGTCTAATACCTTGACTGTAAAGTCACCTTTCTTGAATCACGGAAGTATTGAAATGCAGCGATTTGATTGTTGTGTACGCTACAGAATACAGCCAGACAGAGCAACCTGCAGAATGACAATTGTCTGCGTTTGTAAGAAGGGTCTATGATTGGCTGTATTCGCCAGCGCACAATCCAATCAAATCGTTGCATTTACACCTCACCCAGACCTCACAGAGTGTTACAGTATACTCTACCAGATTGTCTAGTATATAGCACATCTTCACGATGTCAAACTATTAAGAACTGCGTCTAATACCTTGACTGTAAAGTCACCTTTCTTGAATCACGGAAGTATTGAAATGCAGCGATTTGATTGTTGTGTACGCTACAGAATACAGCCAGACAGAGCACCCTGCAGAATGACAATTGTCTGCGTTTGTAAGAAGGGTCTATGATTGGCTGTATTCGCCAGCGCACAATCCAATCAAATCGTTGCATTTACACCTTCGTGATACAAAAAGGTGGCTATTACAGGTATAAACGCTGTTCGTATTAGTTTGATATTGTGAAGATGGTGTTCTATATGGTATAGCTATTCTACCACCTGGTTAGAAAGTTTTATGGTCGACTACCTTGTATCTCAGATAACTAATCTCCATCAATTACTCTTCCTTATCTTCTACTGATAAACATTCGTACGGTCCACAAACCAACATGGGAAAGTCTTACAAACGTGTGAAGCAACAGATTTGGAACTGCACAACGCAGTGGAACTAATGACCAAAGGAAAACACTATGAGTAACTGATGACCCCGCTATCAAGCCCCAAAGTGGCTAACCTATTGTTAATTTCTAAACAGTTGAAACCGTTTACTACCCATTTAAACTCCTTATTTTGTCTCTTTTCAGACTGGTTTGTTGCATACAGAAACCGAGCAGTATTTTATAGAACCAGTTAAAGGCCACGACTGGAAGACCAACCCTCAACATCCACATATAGTTTATAAACGATCCGCTCTGCCAGAGCATTGGGATATACTCAGAGCTACAGAGAACATTGTTAATCAACATACTGAAGATCATGGTTCCTGTGGAGTCACAGGTAAGTGATAATATTTTTTTCATATATTACAGAAGTGTGATTAATTACATTACTGATGATTTTTATTGTCATTATAATTGTATATGGTGTATTACTCTTGACTTTTATTGGATACAACGTTTCAACAATTTACGTTTGTATACTTCGGCTGTTTTAGTAGGTGCTACAAAGATGTTAAAATTAACATGCTCAATAACCGCATGTCTGACATGGTGTACCTCTCCTGAGTATACAACTCAATGTTGTTGTACTTTAATATCTATATATCTTTATGGAATTTCTATTTTAAATGTTTTGTCTATCTGTGAATCGATTAGCATTGTGGAATAATAATTAGCACTTATCTTGTATTGATAAAAAAAGCTGGTGGTGAAGGCAGAGTCAAGATAAAATGATAAAACCATAAAGTTATTGGCAATGTAACACTATTAAACTACCAAACAAACATTTTTAACCTGTAAACTCCAGGGAAGGGGTACCTTGTTGAAATAGCTAGAAGCCAAAAAAATAGTTCAATCTACCTGGATATAGTACATATCATATTAACAAGCAACTACAAAACGCCTAACAGTTATAAACAAATTTACAAAAATTAAATGAAAAGAGAAGGCGATAACAGATCCCCTTGTCTCATGCCTTAGATGCTTTCATGGACACAAATCATAAAAAGGGCTCATTTATTGAAAATACCTTCAAAGCAACTATGTGATTTTAAGCTGACATTTTTCGAACATTAAATGATAGAGGAAGGAGATTAAAAACCCAACTCTTTATGCACTTTATATGAAAAGAGAAGGTTGTAAAAGGTATCCTTGTCCTACGCCGTGTAAACATCATTTTATTCCCGTCAGCTCCAGTCCTATTTTTGACGAGGTTTAAATGAAGACACAGGTTGCAGGCCATATGTTGATTTAATTTAATTCGTATGTTTAATTAAGTCAATTACTACAACTCTTCACACGTGTAGGGTGGGAATTCTTTCCTCGGTTTTTGAATGAAACAAATGGTTTAACTGCATGACACGGCAGGTGTAGGCTGCATGTCAAAACATTGATAACTCGTTAAACGCCGACTCCCAGGAGTGGGAGACTTTTAATTTTTACAGACTATGTCTCAAGATGTTTAAAGAAAAACCTCAGCTATTTATAATTGTCAAAGCTGAGATTGTCAAGATGTCATGATTGCACCCTTGTACACACACCAGAATTTCGCAAATTCGTCAGAGAAGTTTCAGACAGCCATTACATTGTATCAGAAAGCCCTGGTACCGATGAATGAGTCTCTGCAATCCGTCTACGATTCCGGGCAGTCTTAGCGACCTATTGCTCATTTTAAAACATTACATAGAAAGCATTGAAAGCATCAGCGGAATGTTATGAGAAAAACAAGTGCGCTGGCATCGGGAATGTGTCTCCGCAATTCGTCTACCGTTCCAGACAATTCTGAGGCGCTTCCAGCTGCTCACAGTTCAGACATATGTTGTTAGTACAGGATTGTAAATATTTTAAAACGCATTCCATTATCTATTAATGGGCCATAAAACTTGAATCTATTTTATAGAAAAACATTCGTTTTATCTCGCCTAGGTTCTGTTACGATTACATGCATTCTGTTACCATAGTCAGAATTCTACTTCACATTCCTTAAACGTGACAAGGTGGAAAACAGGGTTGGCATGTGGCAACAACTTATAAATTGTAATTTGATGATTGGAGTTTTATTTCTAACCTTGCTGACTATCGTCTCATCATACGACGACATGGTCGTTTATAACCACTGCGACAGAATAGCCTGTTTAGCTGCTACCGTCTCCGAAATAGAGCCCCTCCATCTACCATCATGCCCCTGGATTTCCAAAAAAGGTTTGGACTCAACAGACATACCCCAGACGTTTTTTTAAAACACAGATATAATCAGACATAGTTTTAAATATTAAAAATGTTCAAGTCATTATTCTATTTATAGACAGCCATTACCGCCATAAGTGATGATTATTGCCTTTATGGACAGCTATTAATGCCATGTCAAGTACTTTTCAAATAAATGTCTTACAAATTGTGAATAATTAATCTATTTATGAGATGGTGTTAATGCAAGTTCGTATCACAAGGGGAAACTAGAGGATAATCATAAAAACACATTATACGAAATCCAAATATGACACAAGCGTTATTCATACATAACTATCAAAGCAAACTAAACAATGTTTAGGCAGATAGCTGATCAATTTTGTATCTATCCAATCGGGATGGTCCATATAGATAACATCTTGTATTTATTTCATATTGATTTTACCGTACTTATAACTATTAACGCTGCATGATGGCTGATGCACGTGTAAATTGAATCCTAACCTCGTTTCAGTTCAGATTATTTTATACAATTTCAGATGCATCTAAAAGAGATTTTACACAAAGAGAAAAATGGGAAAAGCATCACCGACATCACAGTTATAAAAACGAAAGTAAAAATAAAAATCACAGACGTAAAAAGAGGTCAATATCAACTGAGAAGTACGTGGAAACTCTGGTCGTGGTGGATCCAGTCATGACCAATTATTATAAAAATGAAGATTTAGAGAATTATGTTTTAACTGTTATGAATATGGTAAGAAATCTTATAGAAATATTCTATCTCGATCTTATTGTCTTACGTGAAGGTTGTGAAGATTAATATAAGTCTGGGTTTAGTGTTGTGTAACAAATGAACTTGCATCAATAAAAGGTTTATTTGTATCAGCAACAGATGGACTCTTATATCGATCATAGACAAACTACCGAACTCTGCAATGTAAATTTACTTTAAAACAATAACTGCACTTGACAAGGGCCAGGCGTATACCATGTGCAATAAAGGACTCGTTGCTGCACAAATGTGTCCCATTTCCAAATATCAAGTATGCTTTAATATTAATACTTCACTCAGAGTCTTAGTTTTCCGAACTTTCAAACGAGATTATGCTATTCAGTTTATGAATTTGTCATCAAGATTGTTGTTTCATTATGCACGTGTATTCTATACTGTATGACCTAATTTCTAGGTGGCGACATTATTCCATGATGCCAGTATTGGTAATGCTGTAAATATAGTTATTGTAAGAATCATGATTCTCGAAGACGATCAGGTAAGCTCAGATTTAAATCTTGAATGAAGTCGTTAAGTAATGATAAAGGGTTGAATAAGCGTGACATTTCCGCCATCGTTGATTTGGAAAAGGTTACGTGTAATATCAGGTGCAAAGGGTTATTATCTGGCTGTATTGGAGGAAATATATCGAGCATATGGTTTAAAAGTTTAGGCATATGGTTTAAAAGTTTAGGCTGTAGACATTCAGCGAGAATATTTAATGGTTAACTGGTAGAGTTATGTCCCATTTGTAGATTGATTCAGATGCTCCTACTCTAATATTAATCCAAGCTAAAAAAATTATGATAGATATACAACACTCAAACTGTGTGTCACTAGCTAGACAGGGCATGTTCAATCTTGATACCACTCAGCACATCGCTTACAGTTTATAAGTAATATATTTTATTTATTTCAAGGACGCTCTAACCATTACTCACCATGCTGATAATTCATTGAGAAGTTTTTGTAAATGGCAGAAGTCGATCAACTTCCCGGATGAAGATCATCCCAACCATCATGATGTCGCTTTGTTGCTTACAAGGTAGGAAATCATTTCTATAATTGTGACTTTGGATCTGATAATATACGAACGAGAAGCTGTTGAAATGATTGTTATAATCTTATAAAAAATAACTGTCATGGAAAGATCAATACCAAAGTTGCCAAGTACCAGTCAACAGGCAATTTCGTCAGCATATAGTTGTCACAAAATCACGACACAATACGACTTCTTTCTTGTATAGATCCAAGTATTGATGTAAATCCGCGCTCTTTATGATTCCAGACATAATATCTGTTCTCGGATGAATGAACCATGTAGTACCCTGGGGCTGGCTCAAGTAGCAGGGTTATGTCAGTCACATAGATCCTGTAACATCAACGAAGATACAGGACTAGCTCTAGCTTTTACCATAGCTCACGAACTTGGACACAAGTAAGTAAAGTTATTAATATTCAAAATATCTTAGTCAGCTTTTTGGTCTTTCTTAATACAAGTTCATTAGGCCGTCATCCTTCGAGTTAAACAATAGGGCGCATCCTGTTATCAAACGGACCAGACTGGATTCATCGTCTACTTCCTCTGAAAAAATAGATAACCAGTCGTAAAATAGCTATTGACTGGTGCTTCATCCAAGCAAATAGAAGATGCTATGTCATCCGTCCCCTTATTACAGAACCCCTGCAACTTACGCCCTTGCATTATCGCTTTGAATATTTGAATGAGTTGTCCTTCTGAATCAACCCCCGGCTCTGGTGTTGCATACCCCTTGTCATATTCATCCAGTCTTACAGTATATGTTAAACCTGTATCTTTTTTAGTTTTGGTATGAAACATGATCTACAGAACAGTGAGTGTGAGTCTCCGGAACATGAACAGTACATCATGGCACCACATCTAGTAGCAGATAGTACTCCTTTAAAATGGTCCAACTGTAGTCGAGTTGCCATTACCAAGTTCTTAGAGTAAGTTATGATAATCCACACAAAATAGACTTGTAAGCAGGATGGACAGAATTGGGATTCCAGGGAGGTGACGATGTGGACTCACTGGACAGTCTACGACCCAGTCCAATAATCACGATCAGTTATTTAACCCAAATGACTCCAATTGTCAATTGATTTCAGACTAACAGCGCAATCATTGGATTATAATCGAGTTCAGCACTGCACTAAGAGAAACAAAGTACAACTCCTATGATTCATTATGATATTTACACGGATTAAGAATCATATTGTTATTTACAATGAAAGCCTTTATTTATTTCTCCAGTCGAGAATGGGGATACTGTCTGGATGACGAACCTTCATCCAATGAGTTCACCTACCCAGCTAAACCAGCAGGTATCATGTATGATGCTGACCATCAGTGTCGTCTGCTGTATAATGATGATGCTGCTCTCTGCGAGGGAATTGAGGTCATAGAAGTAAGTTAGAGTCCGTTATTGTTATTGTTATTGTTAGAGGTCAATGGCCGCTTTCACAAAATATTTTACGACCACTAGTGAATCCAAGTGAGAATGTTATCATAAACTTTAAAGTGCAATATTCCTAAGACCAAGTAAGCTCTCGTCCAAGACGGGCAAAGACCACGGGGACAAGATTGCGTAGGTGACCGTGATCTGGGCGATAAGACTTGTGATTTTTGTAAACTTGCTCCTTCTGTCTGTTTTCACGTTTATGACAGTTATTTCCATGGTTACAGTATTCAAGTTATTGCTATCATTCTCAAACGATTGCTCAAACCAAAATTGTGATCTACTGTTTTTCGTTCGTTACATTTTGAATTTAACATGCTGTTATCCGTCTTCTTTTTTTCTGGGGTTACATTAGACGTTTTGATTAACCGTTAACCCTACAATTTTGTTTTATCAATTACAGAATATTTGTAATACATTATGGTGTAGAGTTAACAATAAATGTTCCACCAAACTTCAGGCGGCTGCCGAGGGAACAATCTGTGGGGACAACAGGGTAAGACACAATTCATTTACTTATCTTAATTGTTCGGCAACATAATTCGCGTCACTCCTGTCAATGATACAACCATGAGAGGCTTTCTAGATTAACAGGACACAAAGTCGTCAAACAGAACATCGAAATGATGAAAATGGAAGCTGAAAGTGTATTGATACACTTAAAAAGTTTTTATTTCAATCAGAACTGTATAATTGATGACGCTCTATTTCAGTGGTGTTACGCTGGTAAATGTGTAGAGATTGGAGAGAGACCGGATGCTATTAATGGAGAATGGGGGGAGTGGGGCAGTTGGTCGGATTGCACTCGATCCTGTGGTGCAGGTATCACTTTAGCTGAAAGACATTGTGAAAACCCCCAGTAAGTTTTACTTTCATGATATTATTATATTCAAGTATCTGTTTGACTATATTAACCCGGGAAAGTGTCAGAATAGGAGATTGATAGCCAGGTATTCCCAGACCTAAATCTAGATTTGAAGAAATACACTAATCTGATTGGATGAAACTGTTCTGTTTGTTTCAGGCCGTCTAACGGAGGTAAATATTGTCTAGGAGAAAGAAAAAGATACAGAATCTGTAACAGTCAGGTAAGACCATCATATATTATTATCCTGAAAACTTTTTGGGAATGTAAAAGCAGTATACGAATCTCTTACCAACCTCAGATTTCTTTATTGGTAAAGGTTCTATGGTTGTAGCTCGGCTCAGGTCTACAATACAGAAATTGTCATTTTTCGTGGTCAACTGCGACCGATCCTTTGAAATACCGAGTCGAGCTTATAACGTTGTCTAATGTAGCTACATGTATTTATAAAGACATTTTTTTCTATTTACAGCCATGTCCAGAAATAAACCCCAACTTCCGACAACATCAGTGTTCAGAATTTAATAAAATACCGTATAAAAATGGTCTACATGAATGGATAACAGTACCAACACCGAGTAAGTTGAGCTCATTTCGGTGGTATTTTATACAGATTTTAAGCAAAAAGTCTTAGTAATGATTTTACAAGGATAACAACTTCAGGACCACAAGAATACTGTCTGACCAAAGAGCGCATTCATATTAATAGCTCCATGTAGGAAAATAGACCGTTTAACGTTTCTTCTATTTCGTTCTATATTTTTAGGTACCCCGTGTCAGCTCCACTGTAAACCCAGAGACAAGTTTTTCTCTGTCTTGTTAAAGGATACAGTAACAGATGGAACACCTTGTCTTCCTGGAACTAGGAATATGTGTATCAGTGGTCGATGTAGGGTAAGTACAATATTATTTGGAACCTGGATCATTCAAGATTGGTTAACAAGTTTCCCTCGGCAATATTGTGCTGTTTCTGCATTTGCATTTGCTCTGATGGTGAATCTCATTGTTTCTGTGTTTCTAGCATGTAGGATGTGACTGGGTAATAGATTCTAGTGCTGTGGAAGATATTTGTGGTGTTTGTTATGGTGATGGTTCAACCTGTAAAACAGTCAAACATCAGTTTAATTTCACTGAAAAACTCGGTAAGTACAGACACATTTATAATTTATCTACAAAAAAAGGATATATACAGAGAGGGCTATAACAACACCCACGGACAGGGATTCAATTTAGATTTATCAAAATACTGACATTCATTTCAGATTTCAGACTCTTTTTCCATTTTTCTCCCGAAATTTAGATTTTTCTGGCGTACTGAAGAAAGTGTCGTTTTCTTGTTTTGACTTTGATTTCAATATTTTCTATGAATCTCCAGGTTATGTAGAAGCAGCAGTTATACCTGCCGGAGCCAGAAACATCCGAGTAGAAGAGGTGGCTGAAGCTAATAATTTCCTAGCGTTAAAGAATGACGATGATGTGTATTACCTAAACGGTCATTGGTTTATTCAGTGGAGCGGGGATTACGAGGTAGCAGGTACTATAGTACATTATACTCGTACTGGAAACAGCAAGGAGAAATTCATGGCTCCAGGTCCTATTAAAGAACCTCTTCACGTGATGGTAAGTGACAGACAGGAACTCTTGAAATAGATTTCCGTAGAATTGAGAACTGTAATCTTTTAGTACATGTACTTCGAGAATATGTCGTATATATAATTATTAGGACAGGGTCAATGATCTATACCCATTTATAGCTGGGTTGACTGGAATAATGAGAAAGGTCATCCTCATCAGAACAGATAAGGCGTATGAGCAAAGACTGCAAATTAACTTACCAGAAGCGATGACTCAACAAGCTTGCTGTGTATTAATATAAATATCTGTATCAACAGCCTTCATTTGAATTCCAATTCACCCTTGATATTTACAGTTGCTGTTACAAACAGATAACCAAGGAATAGAGTTTGAGTATACTGTACCCAAAGAGAATGCTACAGACAACACTAAACCTGTATTTAATTGGCAGTATACAGCTCTCTCTCATTGTACAGTTTCTTGTGGTGGAGGTAAGTTTCTTCATTCTTTAGTTCTACCTATCGTCTCTTCAACACTCCGTACCGACCCATTGTTCTTTCAGCATGTCCAAAACATATTTATATCGTGTTTCACGTTGACAGGTTAACCTTTTATTAAGGACCAAAGTAATAAATTTTCATGATGTCACGTGATATTCAAACTGGCTACTATCACAAAATTTTAACGTCGAATGATTTTATAGTGCCTCAAATTGAAAATCAGAATTTGATTTATCACCAAAATCAATGAAGTTCATTAACCGATCAAATTACTTTTTATTGGCACACTTTTCAGAGAGTCCACATAGCTAATAATGTTTACGTGGTATTTGGGTTTGTCAACTCAGCATCCCTTTCAAAGAGTCCACATATCTAAATTATGTTTATTGGTATATAGCCTGGTCAACTGACCATCCCTTTCAGAGAGTCCACATAGCTAATAATGTTTATTTGATATATTTGTCCACCAGGAATGAAGAGATCACGAGTAGTATGTACAGAGATAGAAGCTGGAGTGGTTGATGATGAATATTGTAATGGAACCAAACCAGATGATAAATCACAGGCCTGTAATGAACACCTCTGTCCTCCCATGTAAGTTTAATATTTGTCTTGTTCTGTGGATCCGTTGTAACGTTTACATTTAAACACTAGGAAAGAACTGGCTCGGCCATACCACTTTCAAAATGTTTATCAATTTACTTAGTGAAAGAGTAGCCTGTTGCCTCCTGGAAAATTTTGTGTCTCACTGCTCGGCCCCCTCAATTAATGTTTCCTAGAACCTCCACTGGTTCCTGGTCAAATCTCATAGAATTGATCTTTCTCTGAGTATCCGTACCCATTTACAACTGGGTTGACTTGGTCGGAACTATGTCTTGTATTAGATCATGAAATTTTTACATTCCATAACCATGTTTATCCAACTATTACCTTTTGTTAAGGTGGTGGACTGGCCCCTGGCAGAGATGTTCAGTTACTTGTGGTCCAGGGGGCATGCATCGTCGAACTGTCATCTGTGTTCGGAGTGTCAAACCAGATGAACAGATAGCCTTGGAGGATGAGAAATGTCTTGGGCTGACCAAACCTACAGAAATAGAGCCTTGTCATCATAAAGAGTCTTGTCCCGGTTTTACTAAGTGGATCGCAGGTGAATGGTCCACGGTGAGTACTATTTCTTATTTCTAAATAAGCTGGTGAAGACCTTGGGTGCGGAAAAACAAAGATGGTTCCCAATACACATACAAACTGTGTAATGCCTATTAACAATCCCTTTGATAGTTTCATCTAATTGATTATTATTTATTCTCAGTGTAAAAATAATCCATGTATCAAGAAACATCGTAAAGTAGAATGTGACAGTCCAACTGTAGGTTGTGATATGATGAAGAAACCGATAGGAGAACTTCCCTGTAGTAATATCACTTGTGGACAATGGGTTACCACAGACTGGTCAAATGTAAGTATAAAATCAAAGTTCTAACAATCGATCCGCAAAACGAAATCCAATCCCGAAATCCAAAATAATAGTTTGGCAATACATTGGTAGCAGCTAATGAACCATTCGTTAGAAGTAAATCAATCGTAAGTCAGCAAGTATTTCATAATGAAATGTGGTATCAGGTATCTAGAAGAGAAAGAATATAAGATGTGAGCACCGCCAAAATATTGGTATATTTAACACGAGACATTCAATTTGAATAAAACACAGCCCATTCCAGGATCATTACTCGTTCTCGCCACCAAAAGTAATGTCATTATTCTTACAGTGCAGTGCACAATGTGGTAAAGGTACGAGAAGTCGAAGTGTAATTTGTGAAGGAAGTGACGTTTGTAATGTCGATATTAAACCTCTGACGGAGGAAGAATGTATTGAAGACCCGTGTCCAGGAACAACTCAATCCTCGGACGAGAACAGAGCAGACGAAGTCGACTTGACCATTCAGGATACTATCAATTCAAAGGGAGACAACAAAAACATAACGGTGGAGATGAAAAACGCTCTCAAAATCTTAAATGGTGAAGAGAAGCCGCTTGAGATGGGATCAGACACGGTTCAGATTGGGTTAGCGAGTGAAGAACTCGTACCGGAAGTGCCGAGTGTATCACCGGAAGTAGAGAAAGAGGAAGGTCACAAGCATCGTCACGATCATGGGAAGAAGCATCGACACAAATCAGATACCGTCGTCTCTCCTGACCTATTGGATCCTGAGAAGAATCCACCTGAAATCTTTGGGATAAAAGAAGGCGGAGATTACACTGAAGACTCCGAGGATGACACTGAGGATGAAGATGTAGTTGATCCTGAATTTAATAAATATTCTTGGAAAACTGGAAACTGGTTGGAGGTTAGAATTCTTTGATCATATCGTATCCTGAAGCACTATGTAGAAATTGTGTCCATCGCATGAAATCTTTGTTCTGTCCAGGGGAATGAGTCAATGGGATAGTAATTGTAAATTGATACAGTCGAGAGTATCATTTCGAATCTTCGCTATTTATGCCCTTCAGTGGTTCTTATCGATATAATCGTTTCCACTTTCTTAATGCCAACTGAGGAAGCTAGTTAAGAGTTCTTAGTGGATTATAGTTACTTGAGGTTTTTCCTCTAAAGATTTTATAACGATTCGTAAAATTCATCTATGTGGGTTTTGTGGTTTATAGATGTTTCACTGTAATTTATGTATGTATATATTTTAGTGTAGCAAACCATGTGGCTCGAGTACCAGAACTAGAAGTATTAGCTGTATAGAAACACTGTCTGGTGTATCAGTAGCCACACATCATTGTATGATGGTAGACAGACCGAGTGAGGAGGAACGATGTCATCTCGATCCTTGTTTAAATTGGCAGGTCACTGACTGGGGACAGGTACGTCAAAATTAATCATCTTGAACGATTCGTTGCTTCTTGTGTGAAAAATTGTCTGTAGCTTCAAGGGGTTATCTACCCTACCCAAAAAAACTTGACTTTAATGTTCTTGTGATGTTATTGGTCAATCACTAAAATAGATTTTAAAATTAGTTTTACCATCAAAACAGATTACTGTACTTCATAAAATTTGAATTTTATCTTAGTAAATGAATTAAGTTTATCTGTTTTGTAGTGTTCAGCCACATGTGGTTACGCGACCCGATCACGTCATGTCCGATGTCAGGCTAGAGAGAGATGTGACCCATCAGAGAAACCCAAGTTAGTGGAAGAATGTCAACTACAGGATTGTTTAGCCTGGGTTTCTGGAGATTGGAGTGCTGTAAGTTGTAGGAACTTAAAATGTTTTTGTATTTAAGATTTGAGGTTTTTTCTATGAGGGGACATAATATTTGCTTCATGGGTGTTTCTTAAGTAAGGCTATTCTGATATATTAATATAATGTGTTGTCAATTTTGTAAATGTATTGGCATTGGAATGACTATTTCAGTGCACTAAGTCATGTGATGGTGGAGCACAAGAACGATTGGTTAAATGTGTAAATCTGACGTCACAGCAGTCGTCAGGAGGATGTAATCGAGGCTATAAACCAGCAGAAGAGCAGACGTGTAATGAAGATAAATGTCCCACTCAAACTGGAGGTTAGTTTTTACTTTCAGATGATGTAATATTGAGATGAGCACTAGAGATTGAGAAATATGCCTAATCCAAGAGTCTTCTATTTACAATCAAACATTCTCTGTGTAGACTTTTCACTTGGGCTGAATTCTGTAATACTCGCATGTCATGTGATAAACAATATTTAACCTTCATTTCTAAAAGCAAGTTTATAGTACACTTGTCAGCAGCTTGAGATACGTTTCACTGACATATATTAGAAAAAGAATAACAACCCCTCCCGTCTCTCCCGTCTCTCCCGTCTCTCCTGTCTCTCCCGTCTCCCCTGTCTCTCCTGTCTCTCCTGTCTCCCCTGTCTCCCCTGTCTCTCCTGTCTCTCCCGTCTCTCCTGTCTCTCCTGTCTCTCCTGTCTCTCCCGCCTCTCCCGCCTCTCCCGTCTCTCCCGTCTCTCCTGTCTCTCCCGTCTCTCCCGTCTCCCCCGTCTCTCCTGTCTCTCCTGTCTCTCCCGTCTCTCCCGTCCCTCCTGTCTCTCCTGTCTCTCCTGTCTCTCCTGTCTCTCCTGACTCTCCCGTCTCTTCTGTCTCTCCTGTCTCTCCTGTCGGCCCAAGTTATGTCTACACCACCGTAACTTACTACAATTCTATATTTCAGCATTAACAGTTACGTGTGAGACTAAAGAAATGAGTTATCGTGTATGTAGAATGTTAAAGAGACTAAACCACTGTAGTAAACCGTATGTGTTAGCTAAATGTTGCCGGACATGTGGAAATCATCGACGGGACAAAACTAGACCTAGTCTCAGTACAAGGTAACCCAAGTTGGGTTTCTATGGAAATACAATTAAAATGTGATAATGTGCTCAATTTTAGTATTGAAAATAAACAAAATAAATTTCAGTTGAAATTTGAATTTGATGAGTGCTATTCAATTGGTCAATACGGAATAATTGAAGCGATTTCATTGGTTGATGTTGAATAAATGGAGATTTCTCATTGGTTAATGCTGAATCAGCAGAGCAATTCCCATTGACCATTGCTGAATACTAATAATTGAAGAAATTTGATTGGTCAGATTAGAAAAAACTATTTGATTTGATTGGATGGAATTCTGTGAATCATGTGCTAGACCTGTGATTGGTTTGCGTGAAATGGAATTGACCAATGAAAACGATTAATGGATTATTTGAATGTGACTTTATATTACAATATGTCCAGTGAAGTTTAGTCATAATATTTTATGTATTTCAATATATTTTGTTATTTAACTCTCTTGTGTAACCATCATGACCATCATTGCTTAAAGTTTCTATCATGGTTGGTCGGAGCTATAGAGAATTGTTCTGGACCTGATCGCAGGTTTCTGTGTTCAGATTGCGTACACAAGAAAGCCTCTCGAACTGTGTAATATTTTGTTTGCGCTTGACAATGTAATAGAATGATACTGGATCTTAGATATATACATTTTTTATGAGTTGATGTCAATTTGTATCAATATAAGAACCATTTTAAGATTATCTGTCCTTTTAGAAGCCGAACTTTATGTCCGTATAAAATAACCGTTAAAACTCGATTTACCACCAATAGTCCGAAGATGATAAGTGGCAAGAGAGCTGCCATTAGATTGTGTGGAAAAGGTCAATGTTATAAATTACAGTGTAAACAAGTTACTTGATACCGGTAAAATATTTTCAACTTGATCAAGTCAACTATTGATAATCGTCATGTTATTTGTGTATATTAAGTGATATTATGTATTAAAATATTGTAGAAAATCACTTAGTTATATTTGTTTAACATATTGGGAAGGTCTGGGTTGGGTTGATGGAGCAGGGATTTGTATATGATGAACCATATTGGCTGTTGAAAACACCCCCCTCTTCGGTCCAAAGTTTGAGACTTTGTGACTTAAAATCACAAGTTAACTGAACTGGTCGTGTAGAGAAGTTTTGTAAATCCAGGATATTTAACGTGGGTACTTGAGGCGGAGTTGATTTTAAATTCCTATGGAGGAAATATTGTGGACGATGTCGAAAAACAAGGCCCATTCTAAAACCGATGTTTTATTCGATGACTAACATTCTTACAAATACTACATCGATGAATGTGTAAGCGTGCAGCATGCGGTCTCTCTTTCGAATGTCCTTCACACTAGGAGGTACGATGGGAACTAAGGTGTGCTCGATATCTGTACTGAAACAACCTCGAGTGGTTGCGCTCGAATACTAATTCTATTTTACACAGGAAGGATATATTTTTATCTAATTTGTGTTGATCGGAAGCCATCAATTTGTGAACAACAAAATAAATGTTTGTCAAAAAGTTCATTGGAATTAATTTTCAATGGATGACTGTTGTTTAACCTTTTTGATTCGAATGAATATTCAGTTCGTCTATAAGTTTTATACTATAAGATGGGGTTACGTTGTCAAGCGTTAATTACTGTTATGGTTCTGGGGTCTTATTCACTAATTCATACCTCAGAAAAATCTCCATTTTGACAAAAATACAATAAGCTTACTTACTAGTAAAATTAAATTAAAAATGAAACTAGTTTTTTACTACAACTAAATTTACATTTTAATCAGCAATCAGCAATTACAAAAAATCTAGTTTCTTTTTTTATATTTTGGGCTGATTCAGCAAAATTATTTTCCGTCAGTGTTTTATGTAAGAAAAGTCAACAAGGTTAAAGGTCATTTGATAAATGACACTTGTGTTGATATTAGACTAGAATGACGTAAAAGATGCCAACCAATCCCGGTTTATGTTTTTGTCAAAAAGTGATGCTTGGCCTAAAAAAATACCCTTGCTTTGTGATTGGTTGGAATCCAGAACAAAGCATTCTGATTGGTCAAATATTTTGACTCATAAAGATAGAGAATCCGGTGTAGATCATATAAAGCAGACGAATTTTTTTTTAAAAATATCAGTACCTACTAAATATTCGACTTGCTGTAATCTGTTTTACTTTCTGTTACTTACTGTTTTATCATATCATAAGGTAAGAATCATTTTTTCAAATTTTAAAAACTTTATTTGGTACATTAAAATTCTAATCAAAATTATCTTTAAATTTAGATCAATAACAGCTATTTTTGTGGTCAGTCTGTTTTGGTTGTGTTTAATTCTAGTATCTAATATTATATATTTTAGATGAAACAAGCTGTAATGTTATTGGGATGTTTGGTTGTTTTGGCTGTGTTCGATTCTAGTATCTAATATTATATATTTTAGATGAAACAAGCTGTAATGTTATTGGGATGTCTGGTTGTTTTGGCTGTGTTCGATTCTAGTTCTAGTTGGTTGGTTAGAGGCGACACGAGAAAGTAAGTAAACATAACATTTTCAAAACATTTCCATGGACAGATGCCTGCTCTAAAAACTGTGGAAGGGATGCTCAGTTATAAAAAAAATAGTAAGTTATAATCACAGGCTGGTATTCAGTATTCTGTAAGAGAGAGAGCATGGAATATAATTGGTACTGAGACAACTTGCTACTTCCTGTGATGATACCAGATGACTTCCTGTGATGATACCAGATGACTTCCTGTGATTCGATCGTATTCTCTCAGCAGTAGACATCCCTACACGCTATCAAAGTAATAGCTTGCTTCATTGTGCCCCCTTTTTTTCATGGGTATGGTTTGACATTGTCATTTAAGACTGGGTTGTTTCGTCTATTTGTTTTTGAGAAGGTAGACGTCGTATTCAGTCCTTCAGTCAACGTTGAATTCCTTATTTTGTTTAAATTTTGCTCTGGTTTCAAACTATAAAATATAATTTGTAAATTTCAGTTGTTTCTGTCGAGCAGTAAGTAATGATAACTATGGTAACGCAATCCACGATTTTGGTTCCATACAGAGTTGTCATGGTGTTCCAACTTGCGCGTGTCGTAGAAGTCAGATGATCACGTGTGGTATAGAGTGTGAAAGGAGGGTAAAGGAATGGTGTAGAGTGAGACATTCAGGTCGAACAGTTCGGGCTCATTACACTGCTAGTAGCTGTAACAGTGGGTACGGACATTCTACGTATCAATGTTAAAAGACACAAGAGTTTTACAAGATGGTGACGGTTTAGTTTTCTCAGAAATATCAAACTATCAGCTATATGTTATCAGCACTGTAATTAAATCTTGTTTCAATGAAGACAAGAATTTTACAAGATGGTGGCGGTTCTTTGTTATCTTCGAGTTCAAATACCAACAGCTATTTTGTTATCGTGTCTTGCTAAATCTAGAAACAATGGTAACGGATTACATATCAACATTATAAAGATTCTGTTTTTGTCAGGATGATAGTTCATTGAGATTTGTCAGCTTTGTTATCAGCCTGTTGAATTAAATCTTATATTAGGAGACATATCTGTATCAATGTTACTATAGACAAGTTCTTAGTGATGGTTGTATGAAGTTACTATATTACTAGCTGTGTTGTTTGTTGTTGGGGTTTGGGCAATGAGATCAAAATATTATCAATGATGGGTAGTTGATATTACCCTTCCCAGCATTCCCTTATTGGGAATTATACTAACTTATACTTGAATTCCCCGATATCCTGGTCCAATTATTTATAGATATCTCTTTAATAAAACTTTATTTTGTTCTGTAATGTGTTTGTCATTTTAAAGAATATCATTAAAATCTTTAAATCAAATCTTGGATCAAGCGTGATTGATAGGTGAGTGACAGGCGAGTATAATACTCATACAATATGTTAGAATCATAGACATACTAAACTAGACATACTAAACTAGACATACTAAACTAGACATACTAAACTAGACATGTGAACTGCTATAGTAATTACCACTGTCCTTACAAATTCCCATCACCACACACTGTACAGCATGCCCATCTTTAGAGACACCCTCTGGAACAGGGTAGAATTTCATTTTAGTGTATCCGCGAGTAATTGATATATAAAAGATTGGCCGGGGGGCTGGGGGGGAGGGTGTGAGAAGGTTGAGAATAAAGGCAAAAATCCTACATTCTATGCAATTTGAAGGAGTATTCTTTCAAGATTATTACATTTTGGCAAAATGCATATATACAATATATTACATGTTATTCGAGGCCTTTGGAAAATGCCCCATTTGAGTCGCCATCTTCCACCAATGTTGAATGTTCTATATTTGGCCCATCAACTGATGCACGAGTAACACAATATAAAAACCATACCCTACACAAACAGTACAGAAAACATACATCATCACAAAACAAAATTCCACAAAAATGAGAAATATTCTAAGTGTAAATAGGTGATGAAGTCAAAAACCTTGTTAATATGGCGGCTGCGAGGCTACTTTTCTTTTCCCACACGAATTCAGGCACGTTTATAGAAATACATTTAACCACAATCATTTAAAAATATCATAAAATAATTAAAATATATATCTTGTATTAGCTGGGTGGACTTAATTAACCCTTGTGGTTTGAAAATTGCGTTACTCCTCTAATTTTTTGAGTGGAAATTTTCTCTGGCGCCCCTTTTTCTCACCAAATTATCGACCAGTTTTTCAGGGTACTAAGATATAAATTTGAGATTGAGGAATTGAAGTCAGTCTCTATGACAGTCGTCTGAGAATCATCATGTTGTTCAAGAGATGTTTATCTATATTACTGGTAGCTGTCTACTTCCGGTCCACCACCCTGGCGCTGTTGAGAGATCTAGATGGACTGGGACTAGGAGATATTGACCACATCCTTGATTTAGACCGAGGGTAAGTTCCTAATATCAATTCTAGTTTGTTGCAAATTACTTGGTAGATTTAAAATTTGTATATCATATCTAACTGCAGACAGGACTGTTTCGGTCTTCTGAACCTCGTCAGTGCAGTGGTGATACTGGAGTTGAGGTTTAGATATATCGCCGCCTCGGAGGATCCCACATATATTATATCAAAAATGAATACTATCACAGAATACAGCATACAGGACATTGTACGTCGTCTATTCGCACCTCATATTCCTATTTGTACACTGCATTGCCTATTTTCATTAGCAGAATTAAGGACATAAAACTTCATTTCATATCACATCATTCTATTTTTAGTTGTCGATGTCAAGCTATAGATAATAACGGAAGAAGTACTGTGTTACAAGATTTTGGACGAATTCAAGCCTGTGGGTTGGGGTTGTGTGGCTGTGACCGAGGGATTATTGGGTCTTGCCGACAGGTTTGTGAACGAATCGTAGAAGCCTGGGCTGCCAACACCTGTCCTGCAATTATTCGAGGTCTGGAAGTTAAAGCCTTATTTCGAGCAGACGATTGTGCTCATGGACTCGGTGATAATACTCATGACTGCCATGGTAGAGGGCGCCTCGATGAGGGCATTAGGGTAGAAATGGGACTTAGAGGGATGCATTTAGGAGGCGCCGGTCTTCTGGCACCGATAGGAAACCGCATAATCTTGAGAAACTAGTCGATCATGCTGCCGGCTTTTGTTTTGGGCACAAATTTCTCATTAGGACAGATAGACATTTAGACATTTCGTTGTCGTGATAAAACTATGACCAGCTTTCTACGAGATTATCATGATCTTTAAGAGTTGTTGTATAAAATGGTTAAATAAAACCCGAGTTTCTACATTATTGTTGTGTTTTTATAATATTGTATTAAATAAATATCTTCTTTCAATTGTTTTTTCCTTGTTTATTACGACTTTTCTTCTTGGGCTAAGGAAATGGTTCTTGTCCACAGAAGTATTGAAACTTGTGATGCCCTAATTGGTTTTGCGTCAATGGGCATGTCGTCCTTTGAGAGTGTTTTCTGAGTCGTTGTGCGCAGCGTTTGGTTGTAGAAAATCTATATTTAAGAGACCCTCTTTTTGTCAGGACGATGGTTCTTCGAGATGAATTTATCAGCTATGTTATCAGCCTGTCTAATTTAGTCTTGTATCAGTGGACACATCTCTAATGGGATTCGAACGACATTTAGAAGTTGAGAACACATATAACAGAAAACACAAGGGAGTATGTTAAGGTACAGCATATTTACGTACGTAACGTAACATAATGTACATAACGTTTCAACACAATTTACACGTGTCGTCATCAGATGATGTAAATTGTGTTGAAACGTTATGTGCTTTGTTATCATAGAAGTATGTTATACCATAATATATTCTCTTGTGTTTTCTGTTATACCTGTATTAATGTTACCATAGAAAAGCTGTTGATAATGGTTCTTTCTCTGACGTAACTGTGTTGCTACCTGTGTTGTTGGGGTCAGGATAATAAGATCGAAATACTCTGTTAGATTCAGTCATGTAGGTTTTCTGTTTAGAGGTGAGGCTACTCAAACAGAGTTAAATGGTTGTCTACATGAAAGCATATTAAGTCAATTGAGTTAGATTCAATCAGTGAAACAATAGAGATGTTTTTTTAATTGGATTAGTGATTCGTCGTACACTTTAATAATTAGTCACGTGATTAGTCTTGAGGTCGCCAACAGATTACTGTAGCAAAAAATCGTTGTAGTCTGAATATCAATATGTTACCTCCCTTAATAGAACTCTTCATAAAGGAGTTATAAAATGTATGTGCTTCAACATTTCGCATTGCCCAGCTTATGTAGTATCCGCGTCTCAATTAGTTCGATACTCTAGAGCATGTTCATTCTATGCTGATTTCTTAGCTAGATCGAAATATTAACAGCTAAGCTAATATTACAAGAGTATTTACCAAATCGTCTCAAAACATCACTTAAGAAATTTTACAGCCGCCATCATGAACCAATTGAAAAATAATAAATATCTTTTTCTACTATCATTTTTAAGTTTAACGACCAAGTTTAAAGTTGTCATCACAATAAAATCTCGAGTTACCACCAGATGATTGTATAATTTTACATTACACTAGTTGTTTGTTTTACCTCCCTATTTTATATGTACCGGTAGTATTAAGCAGTAATGACAGGTTAGGTATCAGACAGGGTATGCTTACTTTTCTGATCACTTGATGCCACTTTTCATCATTAAAAGCCTCCTCGTGGATTCGGTTGTTTGCGACATTTTTTCTTATCATGATAAAACAATTATTGTGATGAGTTCTCTCCCTTGACTATTGAAATTAGATAATGTATTTTCATCAGTTACGTCCCTTGAACTTTTAAAATTGGAAAACAAGACACTTTTTTCTTTCGGGTTGAAAAACAAGCAAACGTCTAACTTATTGAGCCAACGCGGCTCCAGCAATTTAAGGGTGATCGACTATTTGAATTCAGAATTGAGTAGGCTTATGTCGTGTCAAATGTTCCCCCATTTCGATTTCACAGTTAGAATTTACAATAAGTAGTCCAATTTAGTCAATATCTTTGACTTCAGAAGCTCAAAATAGCATGAACAAACAAAAATATAAATTATAGATTTATTTAGCATAATTACAAGAAAAACTCAAAAATATAAAACATCAAAACACGAGGTAAAAGCTATATAAAAATAAAATGTCTAATAAACAAAATACTACACCAATGTACACGTACTCGTCATGCCTTTCAAACATTTCTCACATACAATAATATACATATATATTTCATTCGTTCATATTTGAAGTGTGTATCTATGGTATTCTGTGTACACATAATTATGTTCGTAGTACCTGTACACGCAATACACAACACACAGTGTACGTAATGTTCATGTCCTTACAAAACAAGGTTGGGTAAGAAAGGAACGACAACTCCTGTTAGACCATTTCCATCACAAGCATTAGTACCATCTCCCAGTCCAGCAGCACACAGCGTTGATTGAAAAGCAGCTTTGACCTCGGTATCCCTGAGTGCCAGTGGGCATACATTATCCGCCCAAACCTCCACCACCCGTTCACAAACCCTTCGACAGGATCTCACTCCTATCTCGTTACAGCCACACAATGACAGGGCGCTACAGGCTTGGATTATACCAAAATCTCTCAGAACTACTGCAGCATTGTTTCTGTCAACTGCCATACATCGACAGCTGCAATAAAAATTATGATAATTTAGAAGACATAATGCAAGTTTTATAAAATGTTATCCAATCTGTACTTTTAACCTACCCATTTCCAATTGTCGAGGCTCTTTAACGTGCACAGTCTGTAGCACACATAGTCTCTGTTTATTGTCCTATCAGAACGATTTGAAGTTTTTTCCATGTCAAGCCGCCCGATCTGCATCACCAAGTAAACGAACAAGCGTCCAACACACTTAGTTCGTTATGTAGTACTAGACCACTAGTATGAGTAATGAGATATAGCGTAACTTCCGGTAGTTGAAGAATGTAATTCACCGCAACGTTTCAAAACAAGCCTGCGTTTACGGCAGAATTGTCGAGGCTGATTTTAGCCATTTCACATTGTTGGTAAGTGAAATGAATAATTGTTGAAGATGCGAATATACTAAGCGGCCATTATCGAAGTACTCCTATCTTACCTATTGTGTTTTCTTTGAAAGATCGACGAGATGAAGTGATACTAATTAAGACAGTGCAGGTGAAACAAACCCAATTTCCAACTTGGTGACTTTTAAACCAAGTTTTAGGAAAATAACTCGACTCGACTCGAAATAAACGACACAGAGATTTTAAATATATCAACTTACCCTGTTATACCTCCGAGTACCAGACCATCAAGAGCATCCAGTCCAACTCCTACCCCTCCCATACCGACTCCGACACCTCCTAAACCGACTCCGACCCCTCCCAAACCGACTCCGAGTCCTCCCAATCCGACACCTCCGATTCCAATACCACCCATACCTCCAAGTCCTACGACTAAACCATGGACCATCTGTAAAGCAACGCAGATTACCAACACACCGAATAGAACTGTAAGCTTCATGTTTATCGTTTCACTGTTTTCAGACTGAATGTAAAGTTGAATTCTGGTCTTTTATACATAATCTCGCGCTGAAAAACTTGGGAGTTACCACCCTTTTTATACGTCTGTCTCAAGAATGACGAAGTTATTTTGAAGGTTTCTTGCGCTTGCTTTGTGTCATCATGATCTAATTTGATTATTTTATTTAAAACAATGTAAAAGTCATAAATTCCACCCACCATTTTTATGTATTTTATCTCAACCAATCAAGAAAAAAGTTGCAAAAATGATGAAAATAGATGAAAATAGAATTTAAATTATTAAAACTTAACTATCTTATAATTTTTATTTTGTGGTAATGATGAAGATAAAGTATTTGGTAATCACACCCCTCCCCTATGAGGTAGTCTGTGGCTAATTGGTCATTTATTTAGTTCGTTATTTATATATTTTAATCATTGATGTCGACTATAAGATTCATATGATCATACTTTTGGTATTGCAAGTGGAGAGGTAGACTGTATTGTTGAGTGTGATAGGAATAAACAAAATCCTCAAACAGATAATAACTGAACCCTAACCCAATGCCAGAATATTGAGTATACTCTACAATGTATTATTGTATGATAGCTGCATTAATGAGGATTTATATCCGGAACACGTGTCAGAAACAGATTAGGTTGTCTAGACAAAGTGGAAAAACGATGCGTAACTTTTATAAATTTTATTAAAAAAACAACGATATAATTTTATTTACAAATAAATTAAACAACAATAAACACTTTATAAACTGAAGAATTACACAATTTATATTCAGACTATTTAAATGTGGTCCGTATTTTAATCTATATGACTATGGATTATTTCCCTTTTACGATTTAGAAAAAAAGAATGCAGAAAAGGTTTCTCGGGTGTTAACTTGAAATAGTCTAAACAGACAACATTTCAAACAGTTCTTTAAAAATAATCATGACTTAATTGTCAAAAAAATTGCCACCCTGAACGACAGGTTGCATCTGCATGGGGGCAAACATAACTGGTCTAGGGCAGGGGCATAAACATTGTCCCACCCCACAGTCTTTTGTCATGATCCCAAGATTATTGGTACAGGTTGGTGATTGGAATTGAGCTCTAACCTCTCGACCTTGAAACATCATTGGACAATCATTGAGCGCCCACGATGCGACTACTTGTTCGCACACATCTCTACACGTTTGCACATTTCCGTCTGCGACTAAGTTACAGTTACAGTCTCCCAATCCGGTGCACTGTTTGACAACTCCAAAATTCTTTAATACCATGGTCGCTATTTCTGCGTCAACGGCTTGACACGTACAGCTGAAATAAAACGTATGGAATATAGATGACTTATTGATATATTTCACCCATTCGAATCAGTGGTGACAGACTGACTTAATGGAGGGAGAACAAGGATCATATTCAAAACGCCGCAACTCTGGGGTTGTACAATACGTACGAGCCTCTAATGGAAAAAATGAATTTTGAAAAATAGAATTGATTTGAAACATTTCTACACATAATTGGGGCGAAAACTGAGAAAAAAATGAAATATTTAAGTTTGTTACAAATTAAAACTAGACCTTACTTCCATTCGTATTTTATTAGTTTCGTTTCGAATGTTTTTTTTTTAGCTATTAGCTTTGTACGTAACCATTACAGTCAGGTCTAACACTGTCCTTCTTGACTTCTCATTCTTGACCTCTGTTTTAACCAATCACGTGGCTGAAATTTCCAGCGATGGGATAATGTGACGCGAACAATAGATGCATTCCAAGGCGTATTTGACTAACTAGACTTGATAAGCTAGTCTAATATGCCTTGTAGTGGACCTATTGTTAACGAGACGTTAAAGAGTTAATTGAAAGTAAAGTAAATATACCTGCTTACCCTCCATTTACTAACTGTCCTTCTGTAAACTTCACCATTGATATTATCAAAACAAGGGCAGTAACTAAGTTTATGGTATTCATTGCTATTACTTGTTATCTCCCTTTGTGAACCGTTCAACTCAAACATAAATGATTTCTGATTGAACTAGCGTTATGTATGAATTTATATAGTCAAATTTAACAAAAAAGAACCCAGTAATCAATGGCATTTCCTGTGGTAGATTGCAAGGTTATTTAATTTTTTGAAACAAAGATCACCTCGTATGATGAAAGCTGACCGGCTAAATTTTGCTTTGTTAAGAAACGTAACCAATTTCAAATTTTGAAGAATTTTTCTTTAAAGGAAGATTATTCTATTTTAAGTGAATATTTAATGAAGAAATTTGCCCTTCACTTTGTTTTCATTCGGTTGAAAGTTGAAGAAAATGTCAGTGGTTCTTCAAACATTGACTTTGAAGATCTAAGACTCAATAGATAAATATATTGGAATGTTTTGCGTTTTGTGGTTTATTAAAACCTCGGCCGCGGGATTCGGTGATTAAAAACCGAAGGACAAAGAGACGAAAGTTTTACCACAAGAATGTGTACGTGTGTCTGTATAAGCCTATGTTTTTATTCTAATAGGTAAAATGCACGTATGATGTCAAGTCGAAATATCACATGAAATATTGGCTGCTATGATTGAATAGTGAGTAGTAACTTTGCAACCAGATGGTTCTGGTCAAATCTGATGGTTTTAACGTAGCCGGGTACTATTTTAGATAGAAGCTTCCAATCTTCGAACCAAAAATAAAAACTCAACCAAAACCTACATAAAAACACTTTTTTGTTGTCTGAGTCCTCGGGTGTAACTTATCTCCCCCTGCAGTCAGTAAAACAGAGTTCACAGATGATAAGGAGAGTGCCAACAAAATAAGTGACACCAGTGAAACCATTATGCCTATATCTATGCTATCATACTGTATTAAAATCGGAGTTGCTTACTCCGAGGTCCGCGCTGCTAAATAATCAAATCAAAGTAATCAAAATGTTTCTAAATTTCACGACACGACTTATCCTCGCTGATATTTTGATAATTTTTTTTGTACTATTCCTTCAATAAAATCCGTGTTTTAAAATGTATCTTAATTGATGAAGTGATTTCAGGTTTATTTTATTTTAAATATATACACCCCTAGGACTCCGGCCCTGTGTTACTTAAATTAGACAAAACGACAGTTTGTGGTTATAGATATTGATCACGTGGTCTAAGATTGTGCTCGTCTGTGGTTTGCAGTCGGACATTTTTCAGAATTTGGCTATCAGTTAGTGTTCGCAAGATCTGTTTTTCTCCAATTTAGGTCGACCCGTGTCGAGAGGGAGAGTTGAAAGGTTAACAGATCAACTTTGTTGTAAGGGTTCTGTTTTCCAAGTTATATTCCCTACATGTGACATTACTTTTCGTAATTCTTTTGAGAAATAGGTGTCAACTATTTATTTTGACTCCACCATGCATTATTCAAATAGGATGATATTGGGTTAGAGAGCGCTGGATAATCTTTGAGGTGGATATAGATTTCAGAGAGTCCACATAGCTATTGTGATATATATTTATAGATCAATTCTTGAGTTTGGGAAACTGTCAAATCTAGGCCTATATTGCATGATGTTAAAATATTGTAAAAAAAGGGAAATAACTGTTAATGGTGAAAGAAAAAAGTGACCTTAAGATCGAGACAACGTGATAGTGTTTGATTATCAATAAGAGTTTTTTTTCTTTTCGGCCGGAAATAATAGTTTTTTCAGCCACGTGTGACCCAGACGACAATATGTCAATGGTGATGTTTATTTTTTATGTCTATCAATATGAAATAATGTCAAAGTTAATGATATTATGAATATGTTGATTTTACTAATTAGTACAGAGATAAAAAACAAAAAAAAAAAAAAAAAACGAAAGAACGACAGATGCAACTATATTTTACAAGGTTAACAACTTAGGTTCACTGTTAAGGATCCTTTCTACCAGCTGGTCCTTGGTCAAACCTCTCTGCATTGATCTTTCCCGCATTATCCGTACCCATTTACCTCTGGGTCGACTGGAATTATAAGAGAAGATGACTTATTCAAGGTCGAGATCGGAACCCATGGTAGTTAAAATAGTAGATAGTAAGGCAGGAATCTTAAGAATGACTTTCTGTGAAAAACCAAAACGGATCAGTCCATTATATTTGGAGTTTAATAGGTAGTTATAAACACAATGTAAGTCTAGTTTATATTGGGTTATTACAACTCAATGTACCTAAAATCAAAATAGACTTCCTTAAGTGACATTTAGTAATTGAGGTATGATTATATGAACACAATTTTATGGATAACAATTACTTTAATAAATAACTTACATAAAACTTCATTCACTTCATTTCATTTCTTATATATGTTCTGAATCTGACTTGGAGGAGCCTTATTTAGCCGAAATCTATCGACTGTAACAGTTCTTTATGTTAAGAGTGTTTTGTTCACATCTAGTTTACCATTATGTATATATTATTCATGGTACCTTGCGCTCTCGGCAATACAAAAAACTATAATCGTCGAAGGTGAAATTTGAAGCATAAAATTGTAATTACATGTATTTATTTTCAGTCACGGTATTAAAGTAACAACCAGTTGAAGTTACATCTCACAGCCTTTCTCCATCTTCATTACCCGTCTTCATTAGCACACATGGTACAGAACAGTAGGACGTATAACTCCATCCATTACAATTCTATCTTTGAGCTTTCATCACCTAATTTAAACCTGAACTCTGGTAATTAGTGTTTTTGGCTGGACAAATAACTAGGTTAAAAATTCGGGCAACCTCAGGTATGCCCCCGCCCACCCCTATCCCTCGGACGTAAACCTGGCTACACCACTTGATATTAGGCTCGTAGCCAGACTTGATTGTTTTTAGGGCAAGTAATATACTTTCTAGTTTTAAAACTATAAGAACAGATTTTCATGGTATTTTTTTAATTTTGGGAATATTAAGGATAGTATTATTTTAGTATTTTATTAGTTTTTATTAATTATTCTATTTTAATTGTATATATTATGTTACTTGTGTTATCTGTGTTACTTGTGTTACCTGTGTTACTCGTGTTATCTATGTTACCTGTGTTACTTGTGTTATCTGTGTTACCTGTGTTACTTGTGTTACCTGTGTTATCTGTGTTACTTGTGTTACCTGTGTTACTTGTGTTATCTGTGTTATCTGTGTAACTTGTGTTATCTGTGTTACTTGTGTTATCCGTGTTACCTGTGTTACTTGTGTTATCTGTGTTACCTGTGGTATTCGTGTTACCTGTGTTACCTGTGTTACCTGTGTTACTTGTGTTACCTTTGTTACTTGTGTTATTTACTTGTGTTACCTGTGTTACTTGTGTTATCTGTATTACTTGTGTTACTTATGTTATCTGTGTTATCTGTGTTACCTGTGTTACCTGTGTTACCTGTGTTACTTGTATTATCTGTGTTACCTGTGTTACTTGTGTTGTTATTCTGTATACTTTCAGGTTTTGTTATGATATTAAATATCTATATATTAAAGTGAACCCTGGGTTTTGTGTTTTATACCCCGACCAGTCCCCTCGACACCCTAATGGTCAACGGAAAGTTGGTCCAGTACACATTATTATTGTTTTGATTGTGATACATAGTTTCCTACATTATCTAAGCGGCCTATAAAGGATACCTTGTGGTTTTCTACATTCAAGTTTTTTGTGGTTTCAGATACGCCATGTGTTTCTACGGCACAATGACCAGAAGCTTCTCAAGAACAATTTGTGAGGTGCTACTACCCCCATTTTTGGCGAATAACGTTGACGAATCTTCGCCACTGAAAAACCATGAGATATATTTAAATCTTTATTTCATTAATATAAACAATATCACATGATCACAATAGCCAGTAATATTCTCACATATTTACAATTATTATCAAGAAGCGAAATGAATTAATGAGATAAAGTATGATACATTGTAAATACTATAAAATATAACTCCTTGATGTGTAATTTATTTAAATTGATCAAAATCCAAACTTATTTTTTTTATTTGGTCTGTTTAAATGTTAAAACTTATAAAGATGAAATATCGTAGAACGTAAAAAAAAAAATGGCGATGGAGTGAATATTTACAGAGAATAAATTAAGTCGAAAAAAGACTAACTTGAAATCAATATTTGTTTTTTAAGTTGTTTTTCATAATTAATCTGTTTTAAATACAGATTAGAATCATCTGCTTATAGCTTTGTTTTGTTTTAACAAATACACAGAAAAAACCCCGGATACAATCACTTTTTTATCAGATGAACAACCCTAATTCACGAGGGTTCTCTGTAGCAATCTCTAGCCAACATTTAAACATTGATCCCTATTTCCATGAAAAGTATGGCGATATGAGCTTATATCCGAAACACATGTCGTAGAATGAAATGAGTTTTAGTCAATTAGAAATGATCAAATCACGCCAAACAATGATTGCACAAATGAAACAAGAAGAGTTATCGTTCGTTAAATGTTGTCTAATATCCAGGGATTACATGGACAGCATCCGCCAGGCGGACCTGCCGCATTTCCCATGTTTCCACCTCCCGCCGCACCAACTATAGCGTTGTTTCCACCTCCTGCCGCTCCTAAATTACCAAATAAGAATCCATCTAACCGTCGAGCTCGGCAGTTATGCGTGTTGTCTCCAAAGCCAAGTTTACACTCGCCAGCAGCGTATCGAGCTCGAACCTCTCTTTGTCGTAGATTACCAGGACATTCAAATCGGGACCAATCTTGAACAATTCTTTCACAAGCTCTTCGACAAGCAGCGACACCTTCCGTCTCACACGCACAGAATGCGAGGTCTGCGCATGTATTTATGGGACCAAAATTTGCGAAGATTGTATCTCTGGCGTTGTCGTCTATTGCTTGACACATACACCTAAATATAGAATAAGAAAACTCATGAAATACACAAGAAGGTAAATTGATCTACCCAGTTTAGGGGTTTTCTATCCAACTATCGTGCTCAACTAGCAAGCAGACAGTGACAGAGTAGCAATCAGTCACTATGAATCTATCGAAACTTTCATGACTAACTAGCAATCAGACACCATTAGCTACCTACTAAACTATTGTGACCAACTAGCCATGAGAATAGGCCCGGCATTTATACAGTATCAGGCGACGGAAAGCCTGATGCATCCACGAGGTTTAGATTTTTAACTGGAACCCGTTAAAGAAATATCTACTCACCCCTCCTGAGCCCTCGAATCTGCGAAGAATAAAACTAACAGCAGAGTCCCGAGGGTGAGAGATATCCGATATACCATGATTCACAGGTCTTGTGGTTTAAAGTTTATTAGGAAATATGAATTGAACTTGTTTATATATGATATTAATAATAGCAAAAACTTCACTATTCGACGAATATTAATTAAATATAATGACGTCACAGGAGGTCATTATCAAGGTAAATTATCATAAAATTTCATAATTTAAGAAATTTGTACGTGGTCAATTATTTTCTGATTTGAAAACTTTGTTTAAAAAGAAATGTTTTTTTTTATTCACGCGGGACCCTCATATTAAATATATTCGGAGAAAACCTTGATCAGGAAAACCTCGATAAGAAAGATCAAAAGAAACTATGATCGGTTTTAACCACGTTCAAAACCACAAAAACAAAAATCAGATTAACACAATCCTATAATATACATAAGGTGAAGTCGACACGATCAGTATAATTAAAAATTGGCAAAAAGACAAAGAGATTTGAGATTATAGGTGTGCAGAATATCTTCAATGTGGTGACAAAACATAAACATTGCGAGGTATTATCTCAACCTATGCTGGGATTGAACCCTGGACCTTCAAGTTAGCAAGCAACCGTCTAATTCACTGAGCCACTGCGGCTCCTTATTTGATGTCCCGACTTCCAAGACAGGCTATTAGTGGCAAGAGGCATTTGGATTGACTCGGTTTACAAGACAAAACCTGTATTAATATATTATTCATTGTACAGAATTCCAGAACGGTACTGTAAATCTAATATCTATTTTGCTTTGTCAGACATTTAGAATGTTGAAGTACTAAGTTGCTATTGTCTGTGTATCAAGAACCACAGACTAGAGACGGAAAGTCAGAATGGTTCAAATCTAAAATTTAAATTTCCATTCGCAGAAATGAGGATTACACAATCCATGGTCAGTTGTTGGTTACTTCTATCCCAATTTCAAAAACCTTTAACCCCTTTCAGATTCATTATACGACACACGATTCGGCGACTACATAACTTTAATTTATTTGATGTTATGACAAGCCTACAAGACGTGATAAATCAAAGTAAACATCGTAAAAATGTTAAGATTTGTGAGACGGGATAGGATGATATTAAATAAAACTCGACTGCTGAAACACGTGATATTTTATTATATTAAATAAAATCGAGGTCAAATTGAAGTATAAATGCACGAATGCAAGTTTTGAAAGTTGACATCAATTTCAAACTGAGCTCAATTTGTCCAATTTTCAAATATCTTAATAAACAAACATCTTGACATGCCTTCGTCAGATAAAATACACAGGCTCTTTCTGGAATCAATTTGATTTTAGTTGCTTTCAGATTCACTGATTCTCCTTCAATACTTAAACCATGTGCTAACCCCAAAACGAAACCCGAAATCTAAACAATATATTAGTTCAACATTAGTAGCAGATGTTGAACTTTTTAATTGAGGAAGTATATCAATCATAAGTTAGTAAGTATTTCATAATTAAAATTGGTATCAAATTCAGTAGATCCTACCTAGATGGATTCGAACCCCCCACAATCCGAGGTTCTGCAGCCGCCACGGTTCATATTGACATTAAATAACGGATCCCAATTTTATGGTTCTCAACTTCTTGGTTTTATTTAGGAGGTGACAACCTCAGCCTAATGGAGAGATAGTTATAAGCCCAATAAGAAGGTCGTTATAAGCCTAATAAGAAGGTCGTTATAATACCAATAAGAAGGTCGTTATAAGCCCAATAAGAAGGTCATTATAATCCCAATAAGAAGGTTGTTATAAGACCAATAAGAAGGTCATTATAAGACCAATAAGAAGGTTGTTATAAGCCTAATAAGAAGGTTGTTATAAGCCTAATAAGAAGGTTGTTATAAGACCAATAAGAAGGTCATTATAAGACCAATAAGAAGGTTGTTATAAGCCCAATAAGAAGGTTGTTATAAGACCAATAAGAAGGTCATTATAAGACCAATAAGAAGGTTGTTATAAGCCCAATAAGAAGGTTGTTATAAGACCAATAAGAAGGTCATTATAAGACCAATAGGAAGGTTGTTATAAGCCCAATAAGAAGGTTGTTATAAGACCAATAAGAAGGTCATTATAAGACCAATAAGAAGGTTGTTATAAGCCTAATAAGAAGGTTGTTATAAGCCTAATAAGAAGGTTGTTATAAGACCAATAAGAGGGTCATTATAAGACCAATAAGAAGGTTGTTATAAGCCCAATAAGAAGGTTGTTATAAGACCAATAAGAAGGTTGTTATAAGCCCAATAAGAAGGTTGTTATAAGACCAATAAGAAGGTTGTTATAAGCCCAATAAGAAGGTTGTTATAAGACCAATAAGAAGGTTGTTATAAGCCCAATAAGAAGGTTGTTATAAGCCCAATAAGAAGGTTGTTATAAGACCAATAAGAAGGTCATTATAAGACCAATAAGAAGGTTGTTATAAGCCCAATAAGAAGGTTGTTATAAGACCAATAAGAAGGTTGTTATAAGCCCAATAAGAAGGTTGTTATAAGCCTAATAAGAAAGTCGTTATAAGCCCAATAAGAAGGTCGTTATAAGCCCAATAAGAAGGTCGCTTTACGCCCAATAAGAAGGCCGTTATAAGCCCAATAAGAAGGTCGATATGAGCCCAATAAGAAGGTCGCTTTCGTCTTGGTAGTGAATGTAGAAGGCTGGAGATGGAGGGCTCCACGAATTCGAATACCACCTATTCGTATACCACGCATAAGAATACCACATATTCCATTAACACGTTTACCACGTATACCTATTACAGGAATACGTTGGGGTAAGCGAGAAGTTAGGGAAGCAGATGTAGCTGCAGTTTTGTCCGATGATGAAATAAAATCTCGACTTGGTGTCGCTCATGAGAATTTAGCTGAAGTTTATGAAGTTTATGATGTTAACGGTAAGTAATAAAGTTTGTTGTATCTTTATCTAAACCTAAACTTGTCGAAGGGTGAAACTTTATCTAGACTCCATTGTTCAGATCTATGAGGTTTCAGTTTTGAAATACATCTGTAAGTTAGTGTGTATGGGGTGAAGGGGGAGGGGGTAGATTTCCTGGAAATGATGATAATAATGATGATGAATTATAAGGATTGATGTTGAGCGATAATAATAATGATGATGATGATGATGATAATGGTAATAATGATAATAATGATAATAATGATAATAATGATAATTGATGATAATAATGATGATAATGATAATAATGATGATAATAATAATGATGATGATAATGATAATGATGATAATGATAATAATGATAATTGATGATAATAATGATAATGATAATGATGATAATGATAATAATGATAATGATAATAATGATGATAATGATGATAATAATGATAATGATGATGATTGATGATGATAATGATTTTGATGTATATATTACAGAGGATGGAGTAATAACAGTTGCAGAATTTGAAGCTGTGTCTTCTATCCTTGAAAACAGTAGGTCTTTTCTTTTATTATGAACTCATAACTGAACCGAAATCACTTGGAGTAATCAGAATATGAAATGATCTTGTCACTGAACCGAGTCAATAGAGGTGATCAGAATGTGAAATGGTCCTGTCAAACAGTCACTGAATCGTGTCATTGGGGTAATCAGAATATGAAATGGTCCTTTCAAACAGTCACTGAATCGTGTCATTACAGGTGATCAGAATGTGAAATGGTCCTGTCAAACAGTCACTGAATCGAGTCATTACAGGTGATCAGAATGTGAAATGGTCCTGTCAAACAGTCACTGAATCGAGTCATTGGGGGTAATCAGAATGTGAAATGGTCCTGTCAAACAGTCACTGAATCGTGTCATTGGGGTAATCAGAATATGAAATGGTCCTTTCAAACAGTCACTGAATCGTGTCATTACAGGTGATCAGAATGTGAAATGGTCCTGTCAAACAGTCACTGAATCGAGTCATTACAGGTGATCAGAATGTGAAATGGTCCTGTCAAACAGTCACTGAATCGAGTCATTGGGGGTAATCAGAATGTGAAATGGTTCTGTCAAACAGTCACTGAATCGAGTCATTGGGGGTAATCAGAATGTGAAATGGATCTGTCAAACAGTCACTGAATCGAGTCATTACAGGTGATCAGAATGTGAAATGGTCCTGTCAAACAGTAACTAAACCGAGTCATTACAGGTGATCAGATTGTGAAATGGTCCTGTCAAACAGTCACTGAACTCAGTCATTACAGGTGATCAGAATGTGAAATGGTCCTGTCAAACAGTCACTGAATCGAGATATTACAGGTGATCAGCATGTGAAATGGTCCTGTCAGTCACTGAACTCAGTCATTAATGTTAATCAGGATAAGAAATGATCCAGTCAAACAGTTAACCTGATCAGTTAACATGTGTATATTTATTCTAAAGTATTAAAAGAGGGAGGGGTATCCAATCCAATCGTTGCATTACAAGACAGGAGGTAGGTATTGCAGTCAAGGTATTAGACGCAGTTCATAATAGTTTGCCTTTTTAAAAATGTATTAATCCAACCTGATATATGTCTGTTCAATTTCAGTGCAAGGCGAAGAAGAAGGACAATAGATGATGACAAGACGAACCTGAAAGATCACCTCACACCGCCCTGACTAAAATCGGCCGATTATTTGAAATTTAAAATAAATTATAACAGCATCAAAAATAGTTGTATTTATTACTTCATTGAAATGAAATGAAGTTTTACGTCTACCCTTTTCCCTATCAATAAGTCTCTATTCATATTAACTCAACTAAGATCAAATCTAGAATTTCATATGAATGGATATTCCACATTTATCAGTTCTGCCATCTGTCAGTAGTAAGTATCTGGGACACTGACAGCATCGATTTGCACCATTCCGATTTTCAATTAGACGTCTGTGGTTCCTGCAATTCCACTAAAACTTAGCGTTTATAACGTTACTATCGAAAAATCTGCTTACAGGCTACAGGTCCGACATGAAACGCTTAATGGAATGTATTGTACTATTTACCTTACCAATATTCTAGAACAGAAAGATAGATGTATCTTTTTCTTCTCATGTTATATGATTTCTGTATTTGTAAATGTTGAGGAGACTTAGAAATAAATAAACACAGTAGGCCAACTAACAAACAGAAGAACAAAACCCGAAATCTAAACAAGATATTGGCGAAACATTAATAGCAGCTTTTGAGCTTATTACATTAAGAAGTATATCAATCATAAATTAGTAAGTATATCATAATGAATAGTGGTATCAGGTGTCTAGAAGAACAAGCACACCCTGCCTTGCAATACACCCGCCATAGCTTCTAAATACTACAAACACTACAAATAGAAACGTACAAGTCACATGATTTATTTTGAATTTTAATAGTTCAAGGAAAGTAACTGATCTAAATTCATTGATTTAATTCCAATAGTCAAGGGAGGGAACTCAATGAGGTAGACATAAATGAGTCCAATAGCCATCCTGGATCATTCAAGATGATAAAATCAATGAGGTAGACATGAAAGAAGTCCAATAGCCATCCTGGATCATTCAAGATGATAAAATCAATGAGGTAGACATGAAAGAAGTCAAAAAGCTATCCTGGATCATTCAAGATGATAAAATCAATGAGGTAGACATGAAAGAAGTCAAATAGCTATCCTGGATCATTCAAGATGATAAAATCAATGAGGTAGATATGAAAGAAGTCAAATAGCTATCCTGGATCATTCAAGATGATAAAATCAATGAGGTAGACATGAAAGAAGTCAAATAGCTATCCTGGATCATTCAAGATGATAAAATCAATGAGGTAGATATGAAAGAAGTCAAATAGCTATCCTTGATCATTCAAGATGATAAAATTAATGAGGTAGACATGAAATAAGTCCAATAGCTATCCTGGATCAATCAAGATGATAAAATCAACGAGGTAGACATGAAATGAGTCCAATAGTCATCCTGGATCATTCAAGATGATAAAATCAATGAGGTAGACATGAAAGAAGTCCAATAGCTATCCTGGATCATTCAAGATGACAAAATCAATGAGGTAGACATGAAAGAAGTCCAATAGCTATCCTGGATCATTCAAGATGATAAAATCAATGAGGTAGACATGAAAGAAGTCCAATAGCCATCCTTGATCATTCAAGATGATAAAATCAATGAGGTAGACATGAAAGAAGTCAAATAGCCATCCTGGATCATTCAAGATGATAAAATCAATGAGGTAGACATGAAAGAAGTCCAATAGCCATCCTTGATCATTCAAGATGATAAAATCAATGAGGTAGACATGAAAGAAGTCCAAGAGCCATCCTGGATCATTCAAGATGACAAACTCAATGAGGTAGACATGAAAGAAGTCCAATAGCTATCCTGGATCATTCAAGATGACAAAATCAATGAGGTAGACATGAAAGAAGTCCAATAGCCATCCTGGATCATTCAAGATGATAAAATCAATAAGGTAGACATGAAAGAAGTCAAATGGCCATCCTGGATCATTCAAGATGATAAAATCAACGAGGTAGACATGAAATGAGTCCAATAGTCATCCTGGATCATTCAAGATGATAAAATCAATGAGGTAGACATGAAAGAAGTCCAATAGCTATCCTGGATCATTCAAGATGACAAAATCAATGAGGTAGACATGAAAGAAGTCCAATAGCCTTCCTGGATCATTCAAGATGATAAAATCAATGAGGTAGACATGAAATGAGTCCAATAGCCATCCTGGATCATCCAAGATGATAAAATCAATGAGGTAGACATGAAAGAAGTTCAATAGCCATCCTGGATCATTCAAGATGATAAAATCAATGAGGTAGACATGAAAGAAGTCCAATCGCCATCCTGGATCATTCAAGATGATAAAATCAATGAGGTAGACATGAAAGAAGTCCAATAGCCATCCTGGATCATTCAAGATGATAAAATCAATGAGGTAGACATGAAATAAGTCCAATAGCTATCCTGGATCATTCAAGATGACAAAATCAATAAGGTAGACATGAAAGAAGTCCAATAGCCATCCTGGATCATTCAAGATGATAAAATCAATGAGGTAGACATGAAAGAAGTCCAATAGCCATCCTGGATCATTGAAGATGATAAATTCAATGAGGTAGACATGAAATAAGTCCAATAGCTTTATAAAATCATTCAAAACAATAACAAAATTAATGTGATAGACAGAAATAAACCCAATAAGAAGGTCGTTATAAGCCCAATGAGGAGGTTGTTATAAGCCCAATGAGGAGGTTGTTATAAGCCCAATGAGGAGGTCGTTATAAGACCAATAAGAAGGTTGTTATAAGCCCAATGAGGAGGTTGTTATAAGCCCAATGAGGAGGTCGTTATAAGACCAATGAGGAGGTCGTTATAAGCCCAATAAAAAGGTTGTTATAAGCCCAATAAGAAAGTTGTTATCAGACCAATAAGAAGGTTGTTATAAGCCCAATAAAAAGGTTGTTATAAGCCCAATAAGAAGGTTGTTTTAATACCAATAATAAGGTTGTTATCAGACCAATAAGAAGGTTGTTATAAGCCCAATAAAAAGGTTGTTATAAGGCCAATAAGAAGGTTGTTATAAGCCCAATAAGAAGGTCGTTATAAGCCCAATAAGAAGGTTGTTATCAGACCAATAAAAAGTTTGTTATAAGCCCAATAAGAAGGTTGTTATAAGGCCAATAAGTAGGTCGTTATAAGCCCAATAAAAAGGTTGTTATAAGCCCAATAAAAAGGTTGTTATCAGGCCAAGAAGAAGGTCGTTATTAGGACATACAACTTTGTTTATTTCTCGAAACTATATGTTTAGCGGATTGTTTCTCCAGCGTCCGACTTTCTATGCCAGTTCATTAACTGTTTGTTCAATCTAATTTAATATCACCTGTAAAGGTAAAACAATCTATTAGTTGTAATAGTAACACCACTGTCTCTAAACTCAGAATTACATAATATGATTCAATACCTTGTTTATAACTTTCACAACTTCAACTTGTTAGGTGTTTAGTCGCTCATTTTAGATCCGGTTGACGGAAAGTACTTCAGGTACCTTAAAGGGATTGTAAAGAGGTTTTCTAATCTACTTATAACTTCAATCCATATCATTCCAATTTTTATTTCAACGTCTGTGATTCTTGCAATTCCACTAAAACTAGCGTGTTTTATGACGTCACTAGAGGGGAACTACCAGAAGCTACTATTAATATATATGCAGTTGATTCTATCAGTGTCCCCGATACACATACAATTTTTTTAGAAAACCTCTTTACAATACCTTTAAGGTGGTACATTGACAGTTACATCAAAATGTCGAATTGATCTGATCACAAATAATATCATGCAGTGTGCAATGAGAGAAATAATAATAATAATAATAATAATAATAATAATAGGTTTATTTCGATTTCCAACTGTCGAGGGTACACAGCCTGTGGCATACAGTGCCTTGGTTTATTGTCCCATCTGAACGACTAGACGCTTTTTCCATGTCAGCCTCTCTTACCTGCATCACTAACAGGAGAAACCGGGTTGAAAAATCCGAATGTATCATCTCGACCTATGCCGGGATTAAACACTGGACCTTCAGGTGAGCAAACATCTAACTTACTGAGCCACCGCGGCTCCCTATATTTATCACAGACACAAGACAAATTATTATGGAATACAAATAAATACAAATCTGACCTCTAGACACTGAACATTTCGTTTCTTATCTCCATTGCCTTTTTTATGTAAATAGCTAGATTTTTTTATAATTAATTGGTTTTCTGAGCGAAATAACTGGTGTAAATTAGTAATGAGAGTTGTTAGTAAAGCAGAATTCAACAGTACTTTTTCGATATTTAACCCTCGAGAGGTGAACAGTCTACAGCACACGGAGACTCGGTTTATTGTCCTATACTAGATCAGAAGTTCGGACTGCTAGTAACTGACACGGATGACTCGCAAACAAGCTGACGGGTTTTTTTGAAGATAGATTAATTATTTTTGACAAGAATTGAGTATAAATCAGGGAGAAAAATGATGATATTCCATCAGAGAAAATCTGTACAACCAACAAGTAAGTTAGAAAACTTTTTATTTAATATTATTGCTATTCGCTGAAAACGGAGAAGAAACAGAGCTTCATTTAAATCAATTTTAATTTTCCGTATTTTTTACAGAATGAAATTAGCTCTTGTTTTGGTCGCTGTCGTCTTGGTAGTGAATGTAGAAGGATGGGGATGGGTACGTAGAATTCCCTTAGTACATATACCAAACCCTTCACGTTGGGGTAAGCGAGAAGTGAGAGAAACAGATTTAGCTGCAGTTTTGTCCGATGATGAACTAAAATCTAGACTTGGTGTCGCTGATGAGAATTTGACTGAAGTTTATGAAGTTTATGATGTTAACGGTAAGTAATAAAGTTTATTGTTTCTTATTTGAAGGGTGAAACTTTATCTAGACTCCATTATTCAAATCGATAATGATGATAATAATGATAATGATAATAATGATAATGATAATAATGATGATGATTGATGATGATAATGATGATAATAATGATAATGATGATAATAATGATAATAATGAAAATAATAATGATAATAATGAAAATAATGATGATGATGATGATAATAATGATAATAATAATGATAATAATGATAATAATGATAATAATGATAATAATGATAATAATGATAATAATGATGATAATAATGATGATAATAATGATAATAATGATAATAATGATAATAATGATAATAATGATGACGATGATGATAATAATGATGATGATTGATGATGATGATGATGATAATGATAATAATGATGATGATTGATGATGATAATGATAATAATGATAATGATGATAATGATGATAATAATGATAATAATGATGATAATGATAATAATGATGATAATCATGATAATAATGATAATAATGAAAATAATGATGATGATAATGATAATGATAATAATGATGATAATAATGATAATATGATAATAATGATAATGATGATAATAATGATGATGATGATGATAATAATGATATATAATGATGATGATGATGATGATAATGATAATAATGATGATGATTAATAATGATAATGTTAATAATGATAATGATGATGATTGATGATGATAATGATTTTGATGTATATATTACAGAGGATGGAGTAATAACAGTTGCAGAATTTGAAGCTGTGTCTTCTATCCTTGAAAACAGTAGGTCTTTTCTTTTATTATGAACTCTGTCATAACTGAACCGAAATCACTTGGAGTAATCAGAATATGAAATGATCTTGTCACTGAACCGAGTCATTAGAGGTGATCAGAATGTGAAATGATCCAGTCAAACAGTCACTGAACCGAGTCAATAGAGGTGATCAGAATGTGAAATGGTCCTGTCAAACAGTCACTGAACCGAGTCAATAGAGCTGATCAGAATGTGAAATGGTTCTGTCAAACAGTCACTGAACCGAGTCATTAGGGGTAATCAGAATGTAAAATGATCCAGTCAAACAGTCAACCTGATCAGTTAACATGTGTATATTTATTCTAAAGTATTAAAAAAGGGAGGGGTATCCAATCCAATCGCTGCATTACAAGACAGGAGGTAGCTATTGTAGTCAAGGTATTAGACGCAGTTCATAATAGCTTGCCTTTTTAAAAATGTATTAATCCAACCTAATATATGTCTGTTCAATTTCAGTGCAAGGCGAAGAAGAAGGACAATAGATGATGACAAGACGAACCTGAAAGATCACCTCACACCGCCCTGACTAAAATCGGCCGATTATTCGAAATTTAAAATAAATTATAACAGCATCAAAAATAGTTGTATTTATTACTTCATTGAAATAAATGAAGTTTTACGTCTACTCTTTTCCCTATCAATAAGTCTCTATTCATATTAACTCAACTAAGATCAAATCCAGAATTTGATATGAATGGATATTCCACATTTATCAGTTCTACCATCTGTCAGTCGGTAAATGTTGGTTTCCACCCACATCATGTAGGACGTGATTGGTTATTAAAGAGTTTTTTTAAACCTGGTATCAGGGACACTGACAGCATCGATTTGCACCATTCCGATTTTCAATTAGACGTCTGTGGTTCCTGCAATTCCACTAAAACTTAGCGTTTATAACGTTACTATCGAAAAATCTGCTTACAGGCTACAGGTCCGACATGAAACGCTTAATGGAATGTATTGTACTATTTACCTTACCAATATTCTAGAACAGAAAGATAGATGTATCTTTTTCTTCTCATGTTATATGATTTCTGTATTTGTAAATGTTGAGGAGACTTAGAAATATATAAACACAGTAGGCCAACTAACAAACAGAAGAACAAAACCCGAAATCTAAACAAGATATTGGCGAAACATTAATAGCAGCTTTTGAGCTTATTACATTAAGAAGTATATCAATCATAAGTTAGTAAGTATATCATAATGAATAGTGGTATCAGGTGTCTAGAAGAGTAAGCACACCCTGCCTTGCAATACACCCGCCATAGCTTCTAAATACTACAAACACTACAAATAGAAACGCACTAACAAACAACTAGTTATAAGAATGATGAATTTTGATAGTTCAAGGGAGGGAACTCATTACAATTTTATTGTTATATTATGATAAGAAAAAATGTCTCAACATCCGAATCCACGAGGACGCTTTTGATGATGAAAAGTGGCATCAAGTAATCAGAAGAGTAAGCATACCCTGTCTGGAACCAAATCTAAATTTTACTCTCTAGTTTGCCAGACTTTTCTACGAGATTTTGATTATCGGAATTCTGGATTCTGAATATAATTTTTTTCAGAAATGATTAGTTTAGCCTGTGACTACTATTTTTAATTTGTTCCCCCCATTGCTTTCTGCTGTATGACGTCATTGGCTTATGAAATGCGTGTCGATTTTCTTCTAGCTATTGTCCTCTAGTGAATAATAGGTGTTGAAAATTGTCCCGCATTGCACACTGCATGATGTTGCCCGACTTCTAAATATCTAGAAGAAAGGTAGAGCTTAAAACGTCATTTCATTTCGATACAGGTAAAACTATTTTTGCTGTTATAATTTATTTCATATAATCAGTAAACTATATTCCAGGTGGTGTGAGTTAATGTTTCAGGTTCGACTTCTCTCTTTATTGCCCTTCGTCTGAAATTGAAGAAAATTTTCATCAGGTTGAATTAGGTACAAGAGGTACAAGTTATTACTGACTGCAATAGCCAGGTCCCTGTTTTGTATCTTACAGCGGTTTGGTTGACTGTTTGACAGAATCATTTCATATCTGGGTATTATCCCGGTTACCCAAATGATTCCATTTAGTTTTTCCATTTGTCACAGTAAAAGTAAAAAAAAGACCTACTGTTGGCAAGGATAGATGACACAGCTTCAAATTCTGCAACTGTTATTACTCCATTGTCTGTAATATATACATCAAAATCATTATCATCATCAATCATCATCATTATCATTATTATCATATCCTTATTATTGTTCTTATTTAGAACAATTGTATAGAGCATTGATGTCGCTAATCATTATCATGATTATTGTTGTCATTAGAATGCGACAAGTTTAGGTTTAGATAAAGATACAACAAACTTTATTACTTACCGTTAACATCATAAACTTCATAAACTTCAGTCAAATTCTCATGAGCGACACCAAGAAGAGATTTTATTTCATCGTCGGACAAAACACCGTCTTCAGCTGCAGCATTGAAAGCAGCATCACCCTCGGCTTGTCTCACATTTCTCTTACCCCAGGGTATTCTTGGTATGGCTGGTATACTGGGTATACGTATTCTTGGTATACTTATTGGTGGTATTCGAATTCGTGGAGCCCTCCATCCCCAGCCTTCTACATTCACTACCAAGACGGCAGCGACCAAAACAACAGCTTAAATTAAATATAATGAAAATGAAGCTCTGGATGTTTCTTCTCCGTTTTCAGCGAATAGCAATAATATTAAATAACAAGTTTTCTAACTTACTTGTTGGTTGTACAGATTTTCTCTGATGGAATATCATCATTTTTCTCCCTGATTTATACTCAATTCTTGTCAAAATAATTAAAATATTCAACTGCCCTGTCACCTTTCTTGTGAGATATTCGCGCCAGTAAGTGTCAGTCAACTTCTAATCTAGTATAGGACAATAAACAGCAGGACATGTTTGATGCCGACTGTTTACAATTCAGATACTACTCATTTGTGATAAACCCTCCTTCGATATGGATCTTCTCATTCATGTTTTCAATGGTTGCTATAACCGAAAATACCCCTCCCCCTCTCAGTCACTACCCGCTCTCTTCAATCATTTCACCACCCCTATCACTGTAACAATTCTTACAGGCACCTGTATTTGAGTCAATTAGAAACCGGGTCATTTCAGAATCCATATACGGTCATTTGACCATTTTGGTATCTGATTATTTTGGACCCAAAAAAGTTGCCCGACACCCTCTCAGGATTCCTCTTTCTTGTGCTTTCCTTCACTTTCTCGCCTTTTCTCGCGTTTTTTGCCCTCTTGAATTCTCTCCCTTTTCCTCGTTTTTCTCGTCGTCGACAGTAGAAATTGCCACCAACGGCTTCCATAGTTGACCAGTGACATTGTCAGTACCGGGTTTACTTCCCGGTTAACCGGATGTACCAAAGCGAACAATGACCAACTGGACACACTTCAAGTTGTGAAAATGATGGACCATGTATGAAAGCGAATTCTGTAATTTTGATTGAGTATAGAGACAATGGCGTTACTATGACAACTAATAGATTGTTTTACAGGTGAAGTTTCTTGAGTCCGTGGACTAACAGCCAAAATCCTAAACACGCCACTGGCTTTACCATAACAAATCATATTTATCAAAAACAACAGTTTTATGGTATTATTACTAATAAAAATAACTGTAATGATTATTTTCTAGTGAATGATAGGCGTTGCAAAATGTCCACCATTGCACACTGCATGATGTTGGTCACTTTTTCAATATAGGGAAGAAAGGTAGGACGTAAAACTTCATTTCATTTCGAGGGAGGAATAACTACAACTATTTCTGATGCTGTTATAATTTATTCATTTTAAATAATCGGCCGATTATATTCAGGACGGTGCGTGGTTATTCTCCAAGTATATTATGATTAGTTCTCTTTGTCTCCCGCTGAAATAGAACAGAAATTTATCAGGTATGATTAGGTATTAATTGTCTGAAAATCATCCCGGGATTCAAACCAAACTGAGAGTAGGTACATCAATCAGAAGATTTTTCAACAATTATAAACACTCTATTACAGATTACACCCTAACACAGATTTTTTTTAAAACTTTTAGTGTGTATCGGGGACATCAATTCCCATCATTTCGATTTTCTGTTTTCTATAGTTTCTGCTATTCAACTATTTGTAGTGCTGTTGATTATGTTCAGCTTTCCATGGGGGTAGGTAGAGTGTGCTTACTCTTCTAGACACCCGATAATACTTACTCACTTATAATTGATATACGTCCTCATGTGAAAAGTTCATTAGCTGCTACAAATTGTTTGCCAGTATGTTGTTCTGGATTTCGAGTTTCGTTATTCGGATTCATTAGTACTTGGTTTATTTATTATTATAGTAACAGGAATTGACCTACCGTTGGCAAGGACAGTGGTGACAGATTCATATTCTTCAACTGTTATTTTTTCATCGCCTGTAATAAAAACATAATCATTATCATTGTCGTCATCATTCATCATTCATCATCATCATTATCATCATTATCTTCATCATCATTATCATTATCATCATTATCTTCATCATCATTATCATCATCATCTTCATCATCATCATTTACTGATGAGCGTTATTACCTTTCAAATAAGATACAATACACTTTATTACTTACCGTTAACATCATAAAGTTCATAAAAATCAGCCAAACCCTCATCTTTAACTTTGAAAACAGATTTTATTTCATCATCGGAAAAAACACCGTCTTTAGCTGCAGCATTGAAAGCAGCGTCATCATCCGCTTGTCTCGCATTTCTCTTACCCCAAGGTATTCTTGGTATGGATGGTATAGATATAGGTGGTATAGGTGGTATAGATGGTATAGATGGTATAGATATAGGTGGTATAGATGGTATAGAAATACGTGGAATAGGTGGTATAGATGGTATAGAAATAGGTGGAATAGATGGTATAGGTGGGAAAGTCCAACTTGCTTCCAAATTCACTACCAAGACGACAGCGACCAAAATAAGAACTAATTTCATTCTGTAAAAATCAATCAAATTAAAGAAAACTACGTCTGCCCCGGATGACTTGTTGATATTGACGTGGTGTATCCAAATTTATGTCACCAATCATTAATAAAAATTGCATTATTTAACCTTAATGCGACAAAACATCCTAGTTTTTTTTATAAATGTTAAAGAGGTATATTTGTATATTAATATTTTTCAAAAGCTCAAGATATCTATAAAATTCAATTTAATGATATACTTACTTGATAGATGTAGAGAGTCTTTTAATCTGCTTTTACCAATCAAATTTATGTTGAAATATCTTCGTTTTCTCTGCAATTTATAGTCATTTCTTGTTACAACTAATTTATTTCCTTTCAAATTTGATCAAATATATTTATCTATAAGTTCGCACAAAATAAACAAAAGATATAATTTTTATTTTCTTGACTGACGGCGTGAGATCCTGTAATGTTGAGGCAATGTTTTTGTACTGTTGGTGTGAGATCCTGTATGGATGTAAAATAAGGAAATACTAGTGACAATTCTTTACAAATATTTCTCATCACACTGAATTCTAACTGTAAAGTTTCTCTATCGTGTCTATTACCATGCGTTATATATACCTACAACCAAACATGCCACTAAAACCCAGATGACCTTATTGTTCAGATTCCTTCTCCTTTCATTTCCTTAACAAATTTCCCCATTTTTCTCGAGTTACCCCTATAACAATATCAGAAGAAAATAAATAGCTGACTTCAAATAGTCTTCACAATGTCAAGCTAATATAAAATGCGTCTAATACCTTGACTTCAATAGTTACCTTTCTTGTAACATGTAAATGCAGCAGCGATCTGATTGGATTATACGATTGTACGTTAGTGATTACAGCCAGAGAGAGTACGAGTCAGCACAACACATAGCAATAGAATACATCTCCAGAGAAACAGAAGAATCAAAATAATATCACACCCAGATTCCGGGTCCACAAAGAAACTGTGACGTCACCGACCTGCACAGCAGCTTCCAGGGCCCTATCAATGACTTTCTTGTTTCTGTGCGTTAACCAAAGAATCTAGGTGTTCTCGTCATTATTGAAAAACTGTTTGCCTGCATCCATTGGCGGGTCTCAGTCACACAGGCCGCAATGTAGGCAACCACAGAATACGAGTGCCAGCTCTGCAAGCCATGAATATGTCAACGACATAGGTTTAATCCATGATTGGAAATGATATTTTCTAAAGGTGTCATAAAGATAGAGAAAATAAGACAGACTCAAGAACAAGACCTCCTTGATGGACACCGTATTGAAGTATATGTGGCTCCTTCGATACCAATCTAAAGAGAGCATAACATCATAACTCTAAGGAGTGTAGCCTCGGTCCTATGCCTCTTCCGGTAGGCAGATTAAAATTTACCATAGTAGGAATTCAACTGTACGTGGGCGCACTTTTCATAAAATTTGTCAGTAAAACTGAAATTGAACTTAGGTCTTTAGTTTCTATCTAGACCTGACTTTTTTTTTTATAAGAGGGCGGATTAGCGCACATTTGGAAGACCGGGGAAAAACTGTTGGTCACTGGGGAAAGGTCATCGATGCAGTCCTAATATGTTAGCAATGGGTCATTTGCACGTGATTTATTTGGTATATCTCTTATGGTTTTTGTGACAGTCACCTGTGACTATAGATAATCATTATGAATCAGTACAAGCTAACACAGTCAATCAAAAATACGTTTCCTTATCTTTACAGGAATTATCACCCTAGTACTGAAACATTGCATCAATTTGACAATGTCTTTGTTCGTTCCAGAGAGCCTGTAAATATCCCCTGTTATTGGGTGTACAGACTGGATGTTATGAAAGGCTTGTAATGGAGACAAAGAATTCTAAAGAATTGTCACCAGTATTTCCTTATTTTCAATCTGTCTAGGATCTAACAGTCCGAAAACATTTCCCTAACTTTACAGGATCTATCACCAGAGCTTTGAAAATAAAACAATATCGTTTGTTGGTTCCATGCGATATAATAATAAGAATGATATGACAACCCATTTAACAACAAAACAAAGAAGATAAAATGCAATATGTTTGATAAAATTTCACAGGAATAAATTAATTTTAACAAGAATGGATTATAAATTGGAGAGAAAAACGAACATATTTCAGTATAAATTTATTTGTTCACATCTTAAAAAAGACTCTGCATCTAGCAAATAAATATGCGTTGAATGATATTACCAAACTATCGTTTCTAATTAGTTAGTACAATGACCGTTTTCTGTTACGAATGAGATCAGAGAATAATAAAATATCTTGTCAAACTAGATAGTAGATTGCTTGGTACAGTGACAGTTTTCTGTGATCAGATTGAGACTAGAGCAAACCAAACTATCGTGTCTAACTAGCTAGTAGATTGTTTGGTACAATGACAGTTTTCTGTGGTCAGAGGGAGAATAGAATATACCAAACTATCGCGTCTAACTAGCTAGCAGATTGATTGGTACAATAACAGTTTTCTGTGGTCAGAATTGGACTGACATTGTACCGAACAATCTAGCTAGTAAGACACGACAGCTCGGTATGCTCCAGTCTCTAGAATTGGCAAGGTGCATTTCCACTCACGATTCAATTTTCACCTTTTCCGTTCGATATCCTTAGAGGGTGAAAAAGGGGCATAAATCTTAACTTGAGTTTATAATGAACGTATCTTGAAGTTGAAAAACTCATTTTTTATAATTCAGTTAACCAAGATGAATAAAACATGGAAGACCAATTGAAATGATAATTTTGAACCGACGTGATTTTACCAGAGTTTAGAATTTTAAAATAAAATAAATTATTCCACCATAGATATATATGTATATATTGTTGTTTGTAAAATATCCTCCAGAAACCATTTGTTCTTGATCGGGTTGGCCTCACCTTTATTTCCCTATCGTACATAGTTTTACTGGCGCAATATACCGTGCAATGGCAACTTTTATGGATTCTGTGTCAATTTTGAAAAATTAAAAAACAATGGCCACGGGTAAACTCATTGAACAGTCAGTGAGGGGTCAGGGATGTCATATCTGTTTTACCTAAATCGTAAGAAATTTGGATTATGTCAGTTTGTCAGCTTTGATGGCCCCCTGGCTCTATAGATGTGGCTTTTTGATTTTTATTACAGATAGCTTGCCAGGGTATCCTTTCACAAACCCTTAGTAAATTACGAATGGTCTTAAGTCAATACATAAATTATTACTAATAGTTTTAAGCGTTTAACAAAGTTAAAGTTCCTGGGGCTTGTAATTTACGACTAAATCCTCGCGTAACTTACACATGGTTCAGACTGCCCGCCAGTGTGCTCGGTATTGATAGTTGATATATTTCTACAGACAGAGAAGTTTGAAAATTGGGACTGATCCGGCACATGACCTCATTTACCGAGAGGGTACTGTTTTTTTTTTCATATTCTTAATGTACTTGTTGTGCTCTTACCCACAATATATTTTGGTCGTTCTTTTTATGTTATTTTCACTAGTAAAAATACCACAATACGCAAGACTAATAAAAAAACACCAAAAGACAGTGATACAACATATTTTTAAATTCTGCTGTGATGATGATAGTGTCTTTTCAGAATAAATTTAGCCACTGTTTGTGTTTATGTCGCACATTGCTTTTGGCATTGATTTTTAACTTGAAATTGGGATAAGAACATACTGGATTTTCTTCAGATGTTCATTTTGAAAGAGAATAATAAGTGTAACAAAATTCCCCCTTAGCACACTGCAAGATGTTGCCCAACTTCAAGAAGAAGGGTAGGGGCGTAAAACTCCATTTCACTTTTTCTGATATTGTCATAATTTATTTCATGTAATCGGGCGACTATATTCCAGGCGGTGAGGGTTAATCTTTCAGGCTCGTCTTTTCTTCAACTACTGTCCTCCGTCTGAAATTAAAAAGAAATTTATCAGGTTGGATAAGGAGCATTTGAAAAAGTCAAGTTCTTGCAAACTGCGTTATATACCTTGACTGCAATAGCCACCACCTTTGTCGTATCTCAGAAGTAAATAGTAAAAATAGCGGTTTGATTGGATTGTACACTAGCAAATACATATAAATTTAATTAAACGAACATTTGTATATCTGTGTACCAGAGGGAGATAAAATAATATTATCAAGCTAGCATATACTTCCACTTCCCCTCTCCCTCCCCGATTATTATTACGATAAAAAACAAAACAAATGTAAACTGGTTGGACTGTTTGACAAGGCCGTTTCACATCTCGGTATTATCCCGGTTAACCAAATGATTCCGTTCAGTTTTCTCATTTGTCACAGTAAAAGTAAAAAGAAAAGACCTACTGTTGGCAAGGATAGATGACACAGCTTCAAATTCTGCAACTGTTATTACTCCATTGTCTGTAATATATACATCATTATCATTATCATTCATCATTATTATCATTATTATCATCATCAATCATCATTTACTAACACCCCTCCCAGCTCATATCGTTACTATCATTAGTTTAATCATGTTTAATTATAAGAATAATGAAGCTCGGATAAAGTTTCACACTTCAAATAAGATACAATAAACTTTATTACTTACCGTTAACGTCATAAAGTTCATAAAACTCAACCAAATCCTCATCAGCTACACCAAGAAGAGATTTTTTTTCATCGTCGGACAAAACACCATCTTCAGCTGCAGCACTGAAAGCAGCATCACCCTCGGCTTGTCTCACATTTCTCTTACCCCAGGGAATTCTTGGTATGGATGGTATAATGGGTATACGTATTCTTGGTATACTTATTGGTGATATTCGAATTCGTGGAGCCCTCCATTCCCCAGCCTTCAACATTCACTACTAAGACGACAGCGACCAAAACAAGAGCTAATTTCATTCTGTAAAAAATACGGAAAATTAAAATTGATTTAATTGAAGCTCTGGATGTTTCTTCTCCGTTTTCAGGTTCCGTCGAAATATCGTCAATCAATAATTTGTATTTTAAGAAATAAAAAGTTTTCTAACTTATTTGTTGGTTGTACAGATTTTCTCTGATGGAATATCATCATTTTTCTCCCTGATTTATACTCAATTCATGTCAAAAACAATTAAAATATTCAACTGCCCTGTCACCTTTCTTGTGAGATATTCGCGCCAGTTAGTGTCAGTCCGAACTTCTGATCTAGTACGGGACAATAAACAGCAGGACATGTTTGATGCAGACTGTTCACAATTCAGATACTGTTCACAATTCAGATACTACATAATTATGATAAACTCCCCTTCGATATGGATCTTCTCTGTTCCTGGCTTTCTCGTCGTCGAAAGTAGAAATTGCCACCAACGGCTTCCGTAGTTGACCAGTGACAGTGTCAGTACCGGGTTTACTTCCCGGTCGACCGAATGTATCAAAGCGAACAATGACCAACTGGACACACTTCAAGTTGTGAAAATGATTGTCCACTACTACACAATCTCTTCTCCTGATTTCGCCATACTTTGGACGATATTTTGATAAATGGAATTATCTTGTGTGGATTTTTATTGACCATGTATGAAAGCAAACAGTGTAATTCTGGTTGAGTTTAGAGTTAGTGGTGTTAGTATGACAAATAATAGACCTCTTCCTTGACGGGTGATAAGGCCGGGTGATCCCAGAAGGGGATGAATTGTGAGCATTCAGAGGGTCTAAGTTTCATTTCAAAATAAGACCGTTGATTTGTTTGAAGGGATGGGGGACCAATGGCCCATCTTTTTGATATAGGGAAGAAAAGGAGGACGTAAAACTTCATTTCATTTCGATACAGGAATAACTACAACTATTTCTAATGCTGTTATAATTTATTCATTTTAAATAATCGGCCGATTATATTCAGGACGGTGCGAGGTCATTCTCCAAGTATATTTTGATTAGTTCTCTTTGTCTCCCGCTGAAATAGAACAGAAATTTATTAGGTGTGATTAGGTATTAATTGTCTGAAAATCATCCCGGAACTCAAACCAAACTGAGAGTAGGTACATCAATCAGAAGATTTTTCAACAATTATAAACACTCTATTAAAGGCATCGTAAAGACATCTATATAAACAAAGAATAGAGGTTATTGCTGTCAAGGTATAATGCGAAATTCGTAATAGCTTGACAATGTAAAGATGAAGAGAGACAAGATTTGTAATTAGTCTAATTATGAGTGCTCTCCCTTTAATACTGTATAATAAAATACTGTTGTAACTGATCAGGTTGACTGTTTGACAGAACTATTTCACATTCTGATTACCCCCAATGACTCGGTTCAGTGACTGTTTGACAGAACTATTTCACATTCTGATCACCTCTAATGACTCGGTTCAGTGACTGTTTGACAGAACTATTTCACATTCTGATTACCCCTAATGACTCGGTTCAGTGACTGTTTGACAGAACTATTTCACATTCTGATTACCCCTAATGACTCGGTTCAGTGACTGTTTGACAGAACTATTTCAGATTCTGATTACCCCTAATGACTCGGTTCAGTGACTGTTTGACAGAACTATTTCACATGCTGATCACCTCTAATGACTCGGTTCAGTGACTGTTTGACAGAACTATTTCACATTCTGATTACAACTAATGACTCGGTTCAGTGACTGTTTGACAGTCCATAGTGACACGAAATGACCTACCGTTGGCAAGGGTAGCGGTAACAGCTCGATATTCTTCAACTGTTATTTTTCCATCGCCTGTAAAATAAACATATCATTATCATCATTATCATTATCATTATTATTATCATTATCATCATTATCATTATCATCATTATCATTATTATTATTATTATTATTATCATTATCATTATCATTATCATCATTATCATTATCATTATTATTATTATTATTATCATTATCATCATTATCATTATCATTATCATTATTATTATCATTATCATCATTATCATTATCATTCAGAACATATTTTTGCAGCATTTCTTCGGGAGCCTCTTCGGTGTCTCAGTGATTAAGACGCTTGCGCGCTAACCAAAAGGGACAATACACTGAGGCCCCCGTGTGCTACAGGCTGTGCACGTTAAGATCCTTCGGCAGTTGGAAATCGAAAGAACAGGCTATTATTATCATTATTATTATTATCATTATCATTATTACCATTATCATCATTATTAACATTATTACCATTATCATTATTATTATCATTATTATTATCATTATTATCATTATTATCATTATTATCATTATTATCATTATTATCATTATTATCATTACTATCATTATTATCATTATTATCATTATTATCATTATTATCATTATTATTATCATCATCATTATTATTATCATTATTATCATTATTATCATTATTATCATTATCATCATTATTATCATTATTATCATTATTATCATTATTTTCATTATTATCATTATTATCATTACTATCATTATTATCATTATTATCATTATTAACATTATGATTTACTAATGACCGTCAGAGCCCCAAACACACTCCCTATTAAAGATGGATTGCAAACCTAACACCTTAGTCTGCGTATCAGAGCGTAATTGGAGTTCGGAGGGTCGGACTTCAGTACATTAATATTAACAATGGAGTCCAGGTAAAGTTTCATCCTTCAAGTAAGATACAATAAACTTTATTACTTACTGTTAACGTCATAAAGTACTTTAAAACCAGCCAAATCCTTATCAGCCACACCAAGTACAGATTTTATTTCATCATCGGATAAAACACCATCTTCAGCAGCAGCATTGAAAGCAGCATCACCCTCAGCTTCTCGCACATCTCTCGTAATTCTTATACCGGGTATGGTTACGGGTGGTATGCCTATACGTGGTATACGTATTCGGGGCCAAGATACTCGTGGAGCCCTCCATCCCCAGCCTTCTGCATTCACTACCAAAACAACAGCGACCAAAACAAGAGCTAATTTCATTCTGTAAAAAAACGGAAAATAAAATCTGATTAAAATGAAGCAGTGGATGTTTCTTCTCCGTTTTCAGCGAGTAGCAACACTTAGTATGATCTGATGAAATTGTACATCACATATTGACTCTGATATCGTTATTGTATTTTGTTATATTGCTGAAAGCTGAGAACAGGAATGTCTATAAAGGCTCTGAAGCTGTCCAACTAGATTGATTGGTACAAGACTAGAACATTCCAAACGACCATGTCTAACTAGCTGCGACTAGCAACTCTGACCGTTCCTCGGACGTGATACATGGATACGGAGAGACAGACTGAAAAGGTCATTTGGATCGCCAGTTTTCGTGAATTTTCACCATAACAAAAACCAAATTTTGCAGCAACAAAGAATTGTCCCTGTGTTAGGCTTAAGGTACGGAGTTGAATGATCACCCCTTTATCATATTTCTTTTTATGCTAAATTACATGCAAATGCTTAGATCACGATCTCTATCAAATTCATATGGTATACTTACTTTCTAGATGTGGAATCTGTTTATGACAATTTTTAGACAATCAAATTTATACGGAGATATTTCCGATTTTCTCTCCAATTTATAATCCATTCTTGTTAAAATTAATTTATTTCTTCTCAGTATTATTTACCATGTTTACCTTATATCACACCAAGTCAACAAAAGATATTTTTATATTTTCTGGAATGTTTCTAGATTGACGGTGTGAGATCCTATATGTATGTAAAATAAGGAAATACTGGTGACAATTCTTCACAATCTACAGACTACAAGTGTCAGTTTATAGTTTTATAGTGCTGATATTGCGACTGAGATCATTAACCGGTTGTTAGAGAGAGTTGTCTGATATATTACTATAACTACCTATGGTTCTAATATGGAAATGACACATGCGAACTTATGGATATAAAGGATATTTCAACTTGTTAGGTTTTGAAAATGACTTCGAAATCGACATCAATTATGAATATATTGATGAATATCCCAGATCATTGGAATTAGGCCGTGAAATGGTCAATTTCCTACGGTGAGGTGTGAGCACTATTACTGATTAGCTTAGACCGAAACATCTGCCTCTTTTCGAGTCTCTGATATCTAATTTGAAAGTTGTCGGTTGGAGTAGAGGAGGCCCTGTTTAATGTAGATTTTTTCGGCCCCTCAGAAGGTGCGGAGGTTATAAACAATTTATTTAAATTGGATCCGCCAAATCAATCGTCGGAAAGGTAATTTATTATAGGTTTAAAAAACGCACTTTTGGAAATTTGGAAAATCCCAATAAAACAAGGCCTATTTACTGACTCTACTCTAGCTGTGAAAATAGCTTTCAGAGGCTAAAGTCAGGACTATGATAAGCTTAGAAAAAAATTGTCCCATATCTGAGTCTAAGGTTAGATTTGTCAAACTTATGGCGAATGTGTCCCTTTGACACAAACTGACCAAGATAAAAGTATTGAAGTGTGTATATGATTAGTCATGAAAATTGCTGTAATATATCAACTATGAAGGTATTATAGATAGCAATGGTCAAGAACATTTGCCTCCCCGAATTGATAGGTCATCTACAATCATGGTCACATATTGAAAATATGACAATTTCAAGCCTATACCTTTTTATAAAGTAGAAACCTGAAACAAATGAGCTTATAACACAAACTAGCCAATGAAACGAGGTTTGTGTATGATAACTTCTCTGTATTCTCATCTTTCCCAGTCATACTGCATGCATCTCGTCCCTACCTCCATCGGACTTCATTCTCTTGCGACTGATATAATTCACAACATCAGCCGTAACAATCATTCGAGTGTCCTCGACTGAAAGACAATATGACTACTCGTGAAATCGAAAGATTATGATTGGCTGTATTCACTAACATACAATCCAATCAAATTGCTGCTTTACGAACATCGGTAATACAAGAAAAGTTGCTGATTCAGTCAAGGTCTAAGACGCAGTTCGTATTAGCTTGACATTGTAAAGATGATATAATGTGAGCTATTAATTTTCCTCTGATATTATCATCGGGAATGACCGAGAATGAAAATTTCGTGTCAAGTACGACGTATCTCTATCTTGTAGAAATAGTTTTATATAAAAAATAAATTTGACAAGTCTGTTTCTTGAATCTTGGCTGATTTGTTTGGTCAGACAGTAATTGATCTGGTTGTATCTCATGATGTTGATCTATAAAGTTGTGGCGGGTGTCGAGTGGAACTTCCCGATGAGCATTGAGTGTGATGAGTATTGCTTGTGAAGAATTGTCACTAGTGTTTCCTTATTTTACATACATACAGGATCTCACACCGTCAATCCAGAAACAGTTCCTTAACATTACAGGATCTAACACCGTCAGCCCAAAACATTTCCTTAACTTTACAGGATCTTTCACCATAGTCCAGAAACATTTTCTTAAATCTATAGGATCTAACACCAGTGTCTTGATATTAAAAAATATATTGTGATGATTCTGTGCGATATAATAATAATATGTAGAAAAACATTATTAGGCAACATGTTTGATAAAATTTCACAGAATTAAATTAATTTTAACAAGAATGGATTATAAATTGCAGAGAAAAACGACGATATTTCAGAATGAATTTGTTTGCCCACAACATTTGTTTAACTTAAAAACATTCTACATCAAGCAAGTAAGTACGTACTGTACGGTACGGTATAATCCACCTATCGTGTTCAACTAGCTAGCAGACTGCTAAGATAAGAGTTACGTTAGGTACTCATGACCACTTTCATTAATCACAACCATACACTACTAGTAACCACTATGGTGTGAGGGAACCTTTACCAATAGTCCGAGACAAGTGAGGTGAATAAAGTTGAGAGAATGAACTTAACTGTCATCAAAGAGAAAATATTCTGTTTTTATTTTTAAATTGTAGAATGAAAATTACTCTGTTGTTACTCGTTGTTGTTGTAATGATGATGGGTCTAGAAGTCCACTTAGCATATAACCCCTACAGGGTTGACGTTCGTATAAGAAGAGGTTGGTTATGGGGTAAGAGAGATGTGAGAAATGCTGATTTTGATGCTGCCTATAATGCTGCTGCTGAAGATGGTGTTTTTACTGACGATGAGATAAAATCAGTTTTTGGTGTTGATGTGGACGAGTTCAAAGCAGCATATGATGTGAACGGTAAGTACCAGTCAAAAGTCATTTTTTACCAAATATATAGGTCAAAAGAGGTCAAATTATCTAGGGGTTAAGAGATCAAGAGGTCAAGAGATGTTGAGATCAGAAGATCGAGTGGTCGGGAGGTCAAGAGACCTAGATGTCAAGAGATGTTGAGATCAGAAGATCGAGTGGTCGGGAGGTCAAGAGACCTAGATGTCAAGAGATGTTGAGATCAGAAGATCGAGTGGTCGGGAGGTCAAGAGACCTAGATGTCAAGAGATGTTGAGATCAGAAGATCCAGTGGTCGGGAGGTCAAGAGACCTAGATGTCAAGAGATGTTGAGATCAGAAGATCGAGTGGTCGGGAGGTCAAGAGACCTAGATGTCAAGAGATGTTGAGATCAGAAGATCGAGTGGTCGGGAGGTCAAGAGACCTAGATGTCAAGAGATGTTGAGATCAGAAGATCGAGTGGTCGGGAGGTCAAGAGACCTAGATGTCAAGAGATGTTGAGATCAGAAGATCGAGTGGTCGGGAGGTCAAGAGACCTAGATGTCAAGAGATGTTGAGATCAGAAGATCGAGTGGTTGGGAGGTCAAGAGACCTAGATGTCAAGAGATGTTGAGATCAGAAGATCGAGTGGTCGGGAGGTCAAGAGACCTAGATGTCAAGAGATGTTGAGATCAGAAGATCGAGTGGTTGGGAGGTCAAGAGACCTAGATGTCAAGAGATGTTGAGATCAGAAGATCGAGTGGTCGGGGGGTCAAGAGACCTAGATGTCAAGAGATGTTGAGATCAGAAGATCGAGTGGTTGGGAGGTCAAGAGAGTGTTCAAGAATGTCGATCACAATATTTTAATGAATTAATTAATTTGTCCATTCTGTAAATATATATATATATAGTAGATGTTTATAGATAGACAGAAATGATAACCAGTGTTTGTGGTGTTCCCATCAGATTATACACAATGATATTATTTTTACAGATGATGGGGTGGTAAAAGTATTAGAGTACGAGTTGGTTAACAAAGGTAAGGTATAATTTATTCTTAAAACAGATTCTAAAAAGTTTTCTTTAGGCGATACTTTGTGTTCATTCACTGTAATTCACAATGACCTTTAAACTTATTTAGTGTGCAGATTTGAATAGATATATTCTGACCTTCTGTTTGTGATCAAGCTTGGATTGAAATTTAAAAAGGTCGGTTTTCCACTTGCGATTCTATTTTTACCATTTTCCGTTCGATATCCTTAGAGAGTTAAATCTTAACTTGGGTTTATAATGAATGTATCTTGAAGTTGAAAAACTCATTTTTTATAATTCAGTTAACCAAGATGAATAAAACATGGAAGACCAATTGAAATGATAATTTTGAACCGACGTGAATTTACCAGTGTTCAGAATTTTAAAGTAAAATAAATTATTCCACCATAGATATATATGTATATATTGTTGTTTGTAAAATATCCTCCAGAAACCATTTGTTCTTGATCGGGTTGGCCTCACCTTTATGTCCCTATCGTACATAGTTTTACTGGCGCAATATACCGTGCAATGGCAACTTTTATGGATTCTGTGTCAATTTTGAAAAATTAAAAAACAATGGCCAATGGCCACGGGTAAACTCATTGAACAGTCAGTGAGGGGTCAGGGATGTCATATCTGTTTTACCTAAATCGTAAGAAATTTGGATTATGTCAGTTTGTCAGCTTTGATGGCTCTACGTACAGATGTCGATTCTTTATTACAGATAGCTTGCCAGGGTAATCTTTCACAAACCCTTAGTAATAAGTCCATACATAAATTATTACTAATAGTTTTAAAAGTTTAACAAATCCCACGTAAGTTATGGGTGCTCGTAAGTTTGAAAATTGGAACTGATCCGGCACATGACCTCATTTACCTAGAGGGTATATTGATCGTTTCTTTTATGTTAATTTCACTAGTAAAAATACCACAATACGCAAGACTATTAAAAAAACACCAAAAGACAGTGATACAACATATTTTTAAATTCTGCTGTGATGATGATGGTGTCTTTCAGAATAAATTTAGCCACTGTTTGTTTTTATGTCCCACATTGCATTGATTTTTAAATTGCAATTGGGATAAGAACATATTGGAATTTCTTCAGATGTTTCTTTTCAAGTTAATGATAGGCGTTACAAAATATCCACCATAGCACACTGCACGATGTTGCCCAACTTCAAGAAGAAGAAAGGTAGGGGCGTAAAACTCCATTTCATTTAGTGGGAGAAGTAACTTTTTCTGATATTGTCATAATTTATTTCATGTAATCGAAATATGATATTTAGATAATAACATGTCTGTTTTTCTTGTAATGATTATTTTCTAGTGAATGATAGGTGTTGGGAAACGTCCCTCATTGCACACTGCATGATGTTGGTCACCTTTTTGATATAGGGAAGAAAGGTAAGACGTAAAACTTCATTTCATTTCGATACAGGAATAACTACAACTATTTCTGATGCTGTTATAATTTATTCATTTTAAATAATCGGCCGATTATATTCAGGACAGTGCGTGGTTATTCTCCAAGTATATTTTGATTAGTTCTCTTTGTCTCCCGCTGAAATAGAACAGAAATTTATCAGGTATGATTTGGTATTAATCGTCTGAAAATCATCCAGGGATTCAAACCAAACTGAGAGTAGGTACATCAATCAGAAGATATTTCAAAAAATTATAAACACTTTATGAAAGGAAACGTAAAGAAACTTATATAAAAAAAGAATAGAGGTTATTGCTGTCAAGGTATAATGCGAAATTCGTAATAGCTTGGCAATGTAAAGATGAAGGGAGACAGGATTTGAAAGTAGTCTAGTTATTGTAAAGGTGAGTGCTCTCCCTTGAATACTTTAGAAATAGCATCATTTTTTATTGGTCTTTTTACTGTCACCAGAATGATTTTGTTTAGTTTTGCCTTTGTTCATAGTAATGTATTTTCACCAGTTACGTCCCTTGAAGTGTTTAAATTCGTCGGTCAAGTCGTCAAGTTGCTATTTATTTTGTTGGTGCGTACCTATTTGTATTAAAACTCCATTTATTTCATTTTCGTACCTATTTGTAGTGTTGTGTATGATGAGCAGCTATGACGGGTGTGTCACCAGACAGGGTATGCTTATTCTTCTAGACACCTGATAACACTTTTCATTATGAAATACTTACTTATGATTGATACACTTCATCGTTTGAACCGTTCATTAGCTGCTACCAATTTTTCGTTTTGCGGTTGGGATAGTTGGTTTATTTATTATTATAGTAACAGGAATTGACCTACCGTTGGCAAGGACAGTGGTGACAGATTCATATTCTTCAACTGTTATTTTTTCATCGCCTGTAATAAAAACATAATCATTACCACTATCATCATCATCTTCATTATCATTCATCATCATTATCATCATTTCCTGATGACCGTCACCAACCTCCCCCCATACACACCAATACACAATTTGATATGTATTGCAAAACTAAACCCTTGGATTTTTGGGGGTCGGACGTTTCTTTTACTTTAAGAGCTCGATATACTCATTGATCTGAACTATGGAGTCCAGGTATAGTTTCACCCTTCAAATAAGATACAGTAAACTTTATTACTTACCGTTAACATCATAAAGATCATAAAAATCAGCCAAATCTTCATCAGCGACACCAAGTACAGATTTTATTTCATCATCGGATAAAACACCATCTTCAGCTGCAGCTTTGAAAGCAGCGTCATTATCGGCTTGTCTAACATCTTTTTTTCCGCAGGGCATTCTTAGTTGTATTCTGAAAGGTGGTATTCGAATTCGTCGACGCCTCCACCAAAAACCTTCTACATTCACTACCAAGACGACAGCGACCAAAACAAGAGCTAATTTCATTCTGTAAAAATCAATTAAATTAAAGAAAACTACGTCTGCTCCGGATGACTTGTTGATATTATCGTGGTGTATCCAAAACATCACTATTTCCGGGCTCATAACACAGGTTCATAAAGACGACATGAATTCGGAGTTCGGGTTAATAACTATGCAAATTAGGTCACATATTCATTGGCTAAGTAAACAAGGCATTCTTTGAAGATTATATTACAGCAGATTGCGTGGTACAATTACAGTTTTCTATGGTCAAATAAGAAAAAATGGCAATACTATAGGACGACATTGATCTACTAAACTGTGTTTATCACACATTTTAAAAATCTCAACTTTTTCTCCATAAATTACATTTAAATCACCCGATTCAGATCTCTATCAATTCAAAAGGTCTACTGACTTGCCAGTCTTTTTGAGAAATTAAAATTTTATAGTCGTTTTATAGTTGAAGAATCGATATCGTTATAACAATCAAATTTATACTGAAATATCTTCGTTTATCTCTCCAATTTATAATCCATTCTTGTTAAAATTAATTTATTTCTTCTCAGTATTATTTAACATGTTTACCTTATATCACACCAAATCAACAAAAGATATTTTTATATTTTCTGGACTATGGTGAAAGATCCTGTAATGTTAAGGAAATGTTTCTAGATTGACAGTGTTAGATCCTGTAAAGTTAAGGAAATGTTTCTAGATTGACGGTGTGAGATCCTATATGTATGTAAAATAAGGAAATACTGGTGACAATTCTTCACAATCTACAGACTACAAGTGTCAGTTTATAGTTTTATAGTGCTGATATTGAGGCTCGGCCACTGGATTAAGGGTGTGTGTGTGTGTGTGTGTGTGGTGTGTCAGGATGTGTGAGTGGGGCTGGGGGATTGGGCAGTGGAGAAGGTTCATCCTGTTGGGTGAGTGGGCGAGTTTGGTGACGTCTTTCGTTGGTTGGTTTATTTGGTTAATAGTAACTGGTAAGAGGTTGTAGGGGTATTGGTTTTTCCTGTAAAATACATTGATAAGGTGACTTATTTCTTCTTTGTAACTTTCTTGGTTACTACAGATTGACTGAGCTCTGTTCACCAATGCTTTGATAGTGTTCTTTTTTCTTCTTGGTGTGGTTTGGTAGTTGGATTATAGCTGATACTGGTCTGTGATTATAGCTGATACTGGTCTGTGATTATAGCTGATACTGTGAGGGTGGGTTTTCTATATACAGAAGTTACTACTGTTTTATCAATCTTCTTAATTAGTTTATCCAGGAAGGAAAGCTGGTTGTTCTTCTACAGTAAATTCCATCTTCATTAACTCACAAGGTGCAGAAAAGTAGGACGTAAAACTCTATTTCACTTCATTTCAGAGGTGATATCGGTAAACCACAGATCTGTTGGTAGGTATTGTTATGGCAGGTGAAATAGGCGGAGGAAATACATTGGTGGGGATATTGATTATTCGGTCAACAACACCATAGGTTATCAAAGGGCAACTGGTTTGGGTGATGGTTGTGAATTTCTTCGCAGATAGATTGCTTGAAAGGGTTTTTAGGAACTTGAAATTTCCATAACCTGTGTAAAACAAACGAAACAACTACACTCAGCTCTATTTCTATTTATATGGACAGAAAGTCATTATTGTATATAACTTATTGTTCAATGATTGTAAATTTAGATTATTATATATTTTCTTCTTAATTTCAACGTTTGTATTTATATATATATATTTGTTTTTTTGTATCTATTATTGAATAAACATTATTATTGTAGCACAACATGTCTATAACTTGTGCTTTTAATATACCATTACAATTACAATAGGTAGTAAAATTACATCGTGAAGATGATTTGTATTCAGCTATTATCATCTGAGCTACCCCAGATAGAATGATGATCACTGAAATCTCTTAAAATATGTGAAGAGAGCGAATCTGGGGCCTTTTTCTCGAAAACTTAGGAAAGATAAAATACAGATTTAAAAAAAAAATACAGTAATCTGATTGGACAATAAAACTTGATTCTAGTGATTGACCAATCAGATGACTGGAACACTAAAAGTTAAGTTTTCGAGAATAAGGTCCCTGGGTACCAAGGTCATGTAATTTTCTAGTTTTTAGTGACATTCTCGGTGGTAGTAACATATGTTAATAGACACAGGAGGTAAAACTTCCCTATGAGAGATTGATGAATATTACTTGTGAAGAATTGTCACCAGTATCTCCTTATTTTACATATATATTTTACAATAAACAGCAGGACATGTTTGATAAAACTATAAACTGACACTTGTAGTCTGTAGATTGTAAAGAATTGTCACCAGCATTTCCTTATTTTACATATATACAGGATCTGACACCGTCAGCCCAAAAACATTTCCTTAACTTTACAGGATCTTTCACTATAGTTTGGTGTGATATTAGGTAGGTAGAAATAGATTAGTTTTAATAAAGAATGAATATAAACTGCGGAGAAAAATAAAGATATTTCAGATAGAAGTTGTTTGTCTAAAACGATTCTGCAAGGAAAGAAGTTAAATTATAGAATGAAGCTTACTCTGTTGTTACTCGTTTTTGTTATTATGATGATGGGTCAAGAAGGCGACTCAAGAAGGGTTAGGGCTAGGTTTAGGGTTAGGGTTAGGGCCGGGGCTAGGACTGGGTTAAGGACTGGGGTTATCGTCGCACATAGAAAATATTACAATTGTAACAACTGTTGTAACACGAGATGTAGAGGTTGCTGTGATTGTACTAGAGGATATAACGGTAAAAGAGATGTGAGAAATGCTGATTTTGATGCTGCCTATAATGCTGCTGCTGAAGATGATGTTTTTACTGACGATGAGATAAAATCAGTATTTGGTGTTGATGTGGACGAGTTCAAAGCAGATTATGATGTGAACGGTAAGTACCAGTCAAATATCAAGAGGTCAAAAGTTCAAGAGGTCAAAAGTTCAAGACGTCAAATATCTAAAGGTTTACAATGTCTATATGTACATTAAAGATATTTATAGATTAATTATAGACTTTATATTATGATTTGATGTTTACAGGAGATGGTGTAATTGAAGTGACGGAATACGAATCAGTTATAAACAACCCCTATATCCGAATTACAAGAAATATGAACGGTAAGAAAGAAATTCAAACGATGAATTTTATATCTTTTTTAACATACCCTTCCAGAATGTAATCAGCGAACCATCCGTTTTACATATTTTGAGATATTTCTAGAGATATTTTCTATGCTTTATAGACCATTGCCCTTACTCTTGAAAAGATTTGACATCCATCTAACCAATCGTATCTCAGCTTCAGAAACCGGAATTATTTTAGCTGAGACAATCAGTAATAGTGTTTGTAGACTTTGACCTGCAATGGATTCTGAATTTGATAGATACAGACTGACTTTATTATTTAGATAGAGGACTTAACTTATAGGTAGATTGATATTTAAAGGAACAGATGTGGCATCTGTCCCTTTAACTTGTAGATTAGGTTTCGGGGAAGGGAGGGTTTGATTCTCCCAAATGTACAGGCCTAGGGTGTAGCAGACACTTTATTTAGAAATTAGGATTAAGGGTCTTGATATTGGGTTTTCTTCTGTTCTTATTCTGATCTGAAATTAGAAAAAATAACTCGCCCGATGGGCGAGAAGTATAGTATCTGTTATGTACTGATTGTTTTTAGTTTACTATGAACAATATTATCATTTAAGTTCTTATTTTTTGAATATGCAACTATCATTTTCTGCTTATAGACATGGGGGAATTTCTCTTGAAGGCTCTTATAGTGGGCATGAACTATCTTGCTTGCTCGATTGCTGGTTGTATTAAACGGGACAACAAAGGGTGCTATGCCTACATTATGATGAATATTTAGTCCTATAGGTCTTGCTGTATTCAATGTCTCAATCCAATGGGCCTCCCTAGATTGACGGAATTTGGTAGTTTCATCTTCGGGCAAGTCAATTTCTATACGCTCAATTGGGATTAGGGTGAGATCGTCTATTGAATGGTCGTCGAGGTTGAAATGATTAGAAACAGGCTTGTCTTTCTTTAATTTGATGTCTGACCTATGAGCATTAAAGCGAGTTCGTAAATTATTCTTAGTTTCTCCTACATATTGTTTGGGACATTTCTTGCATGAAATATTACATTCGAATGTTCACATGTTAGATGTTCCTGGATCGGGTACCTTTTATTCATAGAGTTGCTTACAAAATAATGAGTTTCTGATATAAAGGGACATGTTTTGCATCTACTGGACAAACATGGAGCACTTCTT